TCACACCGGGACTACTTTTTTCTTTCATAAAAAATCGCGAGACGTCATTCATTTTGCGATTACAAGGCATAACTGAAGAAATTCATGAGAACGAGAGATATTTACAAACACTTTATTAAACCAAACAAGATAGTCACACGCATCAAATTCGGTTTGCTTTCTATATAAGTTATGCACAGAGCTCCTACAGACATATAATCGAGCTAGATCTATAAATCGATTGACAATGTACGACTGCCGATCGAGCGCGTCCCTTGAGCGTGCATTTAACGTAAAAGGATAAGCGTGGTGAAATGAAGTCTGTTTAAACTATCTGGACAGATATCGAGACTTACTTGGGATGATCCGGTTGTGCCATCGGTGTCCCCTTTGAAGCGTATATTTTGTGGCGCTGTTTCAGGAGGTGTTGTTCATGAATGAACGAACACGACAGCACGACCAGTTCACTTAAAGTTCACAGTTCCGATACAAATCATTCGAAAACTCCGTGGAAGTGTGCCTGACTTCTGATTTTGTGGCCCCAAACATCCCAAATGTGAACAATAACATTCCCTATCTCTAGCGTAAAACGCTGTGAGTGGATTGCGGTTGTCTTTTCTTATTCCGGTGGCGACCTTGCCCTTCGATCGTTCGAAGCTGTCACTGACATGCAAGCAGATATGAGTTTGTTGATTTTCACGTCTTCAGTATATAGGGTGGTACAGTTAACATGAATGTCTTTGGCGAACAGTCTGATATCCCTCTTCCAAAATGGTACGGACATGATATAAATTCAGCTGATAGATCAAGGAAACCGAACCATTTTGATTGCACAGACGGGACCCCGGCAGTGTGACCGACTTGGTCCGATATTCAAAGCGCGGCGCTAATGTGACATTTCAAATTTTCTTATCGGTGTCCTGCGTACTTACAACATGGCGCTTGAATTACCATAAGTTGAAGACTTTCTTCCAAAAGGATCTTGAGCGTCGGTGCTGGTTTGTTTGCAAACAGAACAGTAGGCGCATGTTGTGAATGCGTATGCATAGACATGTCAACAATGCCCATATTTGGTCTTATATCAATATTCATGCGCAACCAGATTTTGCAACCGGTTTCAGTTTGGTCTGTCAACGAACGAAAGTTGTTATGTATTTACACTTAAATATATATTTAACGTAGGTAATAAATAAAATACCACACTCCGCTTTCGCTCGGTCAGATACCATAGAAAGTCCACTCGTTTCGTAAAAATGGTATCAAACGAGAATGCGTGTAGTATTCTCTATGTATACTATGTGCCAGTCAGCCTCAGTACAGTGTCACCAGGAATGCCGTGTTCCCATCACACATGCTGCTGACAACTCAACAGGTGCAATGCCCAGAGACTGTAGTAGTGTGTGTGTGAGACTTATGTGTGTGGCTCCCTAATGCGAGATGTATAAAAGTACGGCTTTGATGTATATGGGGGTCCGACGAGAAATCATATGGCCTTCAGGCTGCAGAGGGTTCCAGTATACGTAGAGAGCACAACGTCACACAGTACTACGGGCCTGACCCTTGTGGACGTGTCACTGATCAGATTACATTAGAGTTACAGTATAGTCCGCTGACTATAAATACTCCGTGAGGCGACGCACAATTTTTTCCCAATACCATCTTGCTGTACTATTCAACCAGCTCACCAATAACCTTATATAACCCAGACATTCCGTAACTACTGCATATGGGTATGCTGGTGTCTTTGTCCTATATTAATTCATTTCGGCGTTGTTTTATCAAATGCTCCCCAACTTAATATTTGTGATAACATAAACTAATTTGTGGAATAATACGCATCATTTATAAGCTTAATATGTGCTTTATATGATTCTATTTTTCATTATACCAACCTGAAGCAAAACCTATTATTATCATTATTTCGTGGGTATAAATAGACCTGGTAGCTTATATGAAATACTGAAATTCAAACGTAGTGAGTGACCAGCCTTCGAATACCCTATCCGGTTATATGACCGTGACATAATCAGGCGGCGTATTGCTATTGTATGGTTGCCTAGCAGGAAACAAAATGACATAATTTTACTTTTTTAAAGCATTTTAATTTATTACACATTGTCCATTCGCATCCCTTATATTTGTGCTGTGGGTTTCGGGGCTCAGTGGGGTCTTTACGGATGGTGTGTGTGTGTGTGGGGGGGGGGGGGGGGGGGGGCTGGCGTAATATTGCGGGGCCCAGCAAATGTAACACCGGGTCCCTGCCTCAGTGATTGACCGTGAGCCTTGATGATGCTGTGGGTGGAGGGCGTGATGGACTTCGCAGGGACCGTTTTGGGTGGGTAGAGTTAGTATCGCGAGGGTTTTCGTGGACATGCTTGGGGTTATATAGTCTCGGCCAGGGGATTTTTCAAGGCTCTGCGTCACTGTCCCACACGGCGGACTAAGAAGGGAACTTCTAATCCTTGGTCCGTGGGGTGCTCATCGAGGGGCGTGGTTACCGTTGATATGCTTGTTTCTCTGTGGCTTGTTCAGTGAGATTTACTGAGAAAACAATATGTGGAATGCTTCATTTCGTCATTCTAACATTAATGTGACATTTAAGGTTATGACATTTTGACAAGAAGTAAGGATCCCCACGAGCACCAACTGTAATCCCACCTGTGGAAATCTGGGTTAGAATACGTCTCCAACAACCCATGCTTGCCGTAATAGGCGACCATGCTTTTCGTAATAGACGATTAACGGGATCGGGTGGTCAGGCTCGCTGACTTGGTTGATGCATGTCATCGTATCCCAATTGCGTGGATCGATGTTCATGATGTCAATCACAGGATTGTGTGGTCCAGACTCGATTATTTACATACCGCCGTCATATAATTGGATTTGTGGTATGAACAATCGTCTAATCGCTGACTGTCTGACCCAAAAGCGGAATAATCAAGTTATGTCTTGATGCTTGCGTTTTTTAATACCATTGTAATGTAAGTTTCTACAAATTCCGCAGCACTAGACGTTTCTATAAAGTCGAGGGTGAGGATTTAGAATTCAGCACATGGAAGAGTTCTCTCCCTTACATTGTTTGGATCACAATGCACTCAGAAAGGCTGCAAAAGCAGGAAAATACTTTCAAACAAATACTTGTTACCATGTACCATAACTAAATTTGACAGTAAAAACGTAATTTATTGGTACATATATTAATATCATAAATCCAGTGTACACAAACGGACAGTCTATGGTAATCATGCCATCAATGGTTGCAGGTACAGCCAGTGTTATGAGAGCTTGGTAGAAGTACAGTCCGTTTTCCTTGTATAGTCTATGATGGTGTGGGAACGACAAGAGCTGCAGAAAAACGCAATGGTCTGCATATCAATTTGTCCACTGCAATAGGTCTTCAGCAACCCATGCTTTCCGTAAAAACCGACTAGGCTGTCGTAAGGGACGACAAACGGGATCGGGTGGTCAGGCTCGCTGACTTGGTTGATGCATGTCATCGTATCCCAATTGCGTGGATCGATGTCCATGATGTCAATCACAGGATTATGGGGTCAAGACTCGATTATTTACATACCGCCGTCATATAGCTGATATATTGCTCAGTGCGGCGTAATAACAAACTAAGTTACCATGATTTGTACAGAGGTAAGAGAACAATACAGTAACAAGTGGTACATATATGGTATAGAGACGATCTCCACTGGAATGCAAACACTACACTACACACGACAACTAGATCCAGCAACAGAAAGTTAATACTTCCTCAAATTATATAAACAAAATCCCAGGATGAAATATTCCTCATCCAGCACTTTATATACACGTCATTATACCATCCTTGCTTTCATGACAATAAGGAGAGGTGATGTGAAATGGAGTTTAATCGTCTAATTTGTGTTAAAAAAGAAGGATCAAAGGTGAATACAAGTAAAATTATGTATTATATATTCTGAGAGCTTGTATCGGAGCTATTATACCATTAGTACGTTACTGTGCCCCGTTACAGCATGACGTTTACATGGAGGCACCAGTAGGTCATGTTCACCCTTATAACACGACATGGTCATGTTGGCACTGGTAGGTCATTATACCCACATACAGCATGACGTGGGTATGGATGACCAATTCGTCAGTGTACGCATTAACAGCATGACGTGAGTATGGGTCAAGAGTACGTCATTGTATCCACTCACAACGTTACGTGTGCTTGAAGGCACCAGTAGGTCATGTACACCCTTATAACATGGCATGGTCATGATGGCACTGGTAGGTCATTATACCCACATACAGCATGACGTGGGTATGGATGACCAATACGTCAGTGTACGCATTAACAGCATCAACGTGGGTATGGGTCAAGAGTACGTCATTGTATCCACTCACAACGTTACGTGTGCTTGAAGGCACCAGTAGGTCATGTACACCCTTATAACATGGCATGGTCATGATGGCACTCGCAGGTCATTATACCCAAATACAGCATTACGTGGGTATGGATGACCAATACGTCAGTGTACGCATTAACAGCATGACGTTGGTATGGGTCAAGAGTACGGCATTGTACCCAGTCACAACGTTACGTGTGCTTGAAGGCACCAATAGGTCATGTACACCCTTATAACATGGCATGGTCATGATGGCACTGGTAGGTCATTATACCCACATACAGCATGACGTGGGTATGGATGACCAATTCGTCAGTGTACGCATTAACAGCATGACGTGGGTATGGGTCAAGAGTACGTCATTGTACCCAGTCACAACGTTACGTGTGCTTGAAGGCACCAGTAGGTCATGTACACCCTTATAACATGGCATGGTCAAGATGGCACTGGTAGGGCATTATACCCACATACAGCATGACGTGGGTATGGATGACCAATACGTCAGTGTACGCATTAACAGCATGACGTGGGTATGGGTCAAGAGAACGTCATTGTACCCAGTCACAACGTTACGTGTGCATGAAGGCACCAGCACGTCTTGTAAACCCTTATGGCATGACGTGGTCATGACGGCACTAGTACGTCATTCTACCCAGTTACACGATGTCACGATATGTTAATCTGTTGACAGTCTATGGGTAAATATCATACATATATTAGACAACTAAATATAAACTTATATTGTAGAATGTGAACAACATAGTTCGGCCGAACGAATATTTTCGCACGTACTTGCATTACTTCTTAAAACACATCCGTTTAAATACAATCTTTGCCTGTGATCGGAATGTGTCACTCATGAAACCATATATGATGGGATTGGACACTGAATTGATGAAGTATGTCCTGAGGAATAAGTTATACAGAGCCAATGGTGCTCCATCCAGATGATCGTACGTGTGTTTCTGCACGGCTCTTGTCGCCATCAGAGCCAGATGGGGTATAAAGCTGAGAATGAACACAGCTGTGATGATAAACATCATAAACGTGGTCTTGTGCGTCCCCTTCTTCAGAGCAGAGTTTACTTTTGCATCTTGTTGTCTTGGATTTTTGTTGATTGGAGATGTCGTCTTGTCGTTTGACGAGGTCGTATCGTCATCCGACGGTAACTCACTCTGTGATAATGTCACCGTGATGTCGCGTGATGATGTCACAGTGTCCTCACTCGTTGGTATGTTACCCTGTGGTGATTGCACTGCGTTGTCTTGTGTTGACGTGATTGACGTGTCAGTCTCATATGGCGCATCACTAGAGTGGGTTGAACACACCTTGCTGTCAACATGTTTAGGACTCATTCCTTCTCTGTACCTCTTCTGTGCGCGGACTCTCTTCAGGATCAAGGCATAGAGGGAAGTAACAGTGGAAATAGTAAGCACGGCTAGGAGAAGTTGCATCCCATTAAACAGCGCTGGAAACGGAGTCTTTATCATGCTGTCATCCGTGGCGCATGCGTAGCCGACCACTGTTCTGTTTACAGTCTTCGTGCCTAGAATAACCATGGAGGGTGACGCAAGAATCAAAGCAATAACACACCCAATACCAACTGCAATTTTCGCCGTTTTCAAAGATATCTGAGACTTGAAAGGAGTGCATACCCGTTTGTATCTGTCCACGGCTATGGATACAAGAACAGATATTGAACTAATCACACAGACCAGGACAATCGTACGGAACACCCTGCAGAGCCATGGGACGTCGAAGGAGTAGAGATAGCGGATTACAACGATTTCTACTGGAATACACACAGAGCACACAACAGTGTCAGCAACAGCCAAGGCGATGATGAACAGGTGCGTGGTACTTCTCTTCAGCCTGACAGCATAGATATATATCACCAGGATGTTTCCGAAGAATCCAACCAGCATCAGAATCCCCAGGATGATAATGACAGGCGACATAAGTACTGCTATTTCGGTGTGGTATTCTTCAGCCTTGTCCAACGTTGTATCTTTACCAGAAGTTGTAGATGCCATGGTGAACTGAAAATATAGGAAGATAAAAAGGAATGGAAGGACATTTGGGTACGATGACATGCATCAATCAAGTTAGCAAACCTGATCACTCGATCCCGTTAGTCGCCTCTTACGTCAAGCATAGTCGTCTTTTACGGCAAGCATGGGATGCTGAAAACATTTTCTTACCCGGATCTTCACGTTCCCTATTTGATAGTGATTCATAAACACAGCCCGTGAAGATCCGGGTTAGAATAAGTCTTCAGCAATCCATGCTCACGATGTCAATCACTGGATTGTGTGGTCCAGATTCAATTATTCACAGACAGCCGTCATATTGCTGAAAGATTGCTGAGTGCGGCGGTAAACAAGAAACAAACCCAACCAAATCATGCATAAGCTCGTGCTTATGATATAGTTGGAATCATACAAAGGCCTCTGCTTTTAGCATGGAAATGTTTTGTCGCTTTTATCAATATACCCTTTTAAATGTAAACGATTACGATTAGCTTTGTAACTTGTAACTTGTAACTTGTAATCAAGGTGAGTCATGTGACGTCAACGGTCTCATGATAAGGGGCACGGGTGGCCATGTCGTCTAAGGCGCCGCGGTTCGCTGTGCAGAGTTGCGACCCTTGGGCACGCCAGAAACCTATGATTGTGGGTTAGAATCCGATTATGTTTCTAGGTTTGTCAGCACCATACCCGTGCTCGTGGGTTTAAATGAAGTGGTAAACGTCTGTGACCTGCATCACTTCGGGCTTTCCTCCCACATTAAGCTGGCACGCCGTGATATAACTGGAATGCTGTTAAAAGCGGCGTTAAACCCAACTCACTCACTCATTCACTGTCTCATGATAGGAAGCGTCTGCAACTGGAGCCAGACAATGACTCATTTCATAGCTCAGTCGCCTCATGAAGTCGACAGGTTCATCGAGAACGAAAAGGAAATTATCCTTTTAGGATGTCCTATCCCTATAATTATATTTAGGGGCGGTCGGGTAGCCTAGTGGTTAAAGCGTTGGCTCGTCACGCCGAAGACCCGGGTTCGATTCCCGACATGGGTACAATGTGTGAAGCCCATTTCTGGTGTCCCCCGCCGTGATATTGCTGGAATATTGCTAAAAGCGGCGTAAAAACAATACTCACTCACTCACTATAATTATATTTGTAATTGGCAGTGTTCCCATCCCGATGTTGATGAGAATAACATGATACTTCCTTGTCGTGACTGCACACATGGCATGACTTAATGGGTGCCGCTTGCCATGCGTTAAAATTGTCTGGAAATGTACAACTTGAGTGCGACGGATGTTAATAATTGATATAAACTGACGTCCAAAAGAAACTTTACCAGAGTTTGAAATCACTCTTGCTCAAAAACAACAAAACATACATGCATGAAGTAAAATGTATTGAGAAGATGAATATATCAACATAATCAACACTGAAAATGACAATCATACCGCGACCGAGAATGACGTCAGAGCCCCCCAGTTGGTTATGGTACATAACTCGAGCTTTCAGAATCATAGACAACAGGCAGAGTACTTAAACAATCGCTCACGTTCAATAACAAGTCATTAGTACCGTGTGTGACCACCAAATGCCTCAATACACGCAAAAACTCTTCGACGCACAGAAAAAGTCAGTCGTCTGATGAGGACACGTGGGATTTGACGCCATTCTTCTTGGAGGGCCAAGATCAGTTCTTGCCGGTTGGCTGGAGAGTGTGGTCGTTGTCCAACACGACGATCCATCATGTCCCAGAGGTGTTCTATGGGGGACATGTCGGGTCAACGTGCAGGCCACGGCAGGGCGTTGACGTTGTTGGCTGCGAGGAAGTTAGTGACAATTCTGGCTGTATGGGCTCTAGCGTTGTCATGCTGATAAATGACACCACGTGGCTGCTGTTGGAGAAGTGGTAGGACAACTGGACGAAGAATGTTATCCATGTAACGCTGAGCTGTCAAGTTTCCGTCAACGATGACCAGCGGTGTCCTCTACTGCCCACAGATCCCTCCCAACACCATGGCACTCCCTCCACCATATTGTACGACCTCCTGCACGCAACACGCCGCCGTTCGTTCACCCCTTCGGCGGTAAACACGTTGTCTTCCATCAGCCCTAAACATACAGAATCGACTTTCGTCAGTGAAGACAACCCTCTGCCAGTCACGTCGTTGCCAACGTCGTACAGTCCGGGCCCATCTCAATCGCAGACGACAATGTTGCGCTGTCAATAGCTGTCCTCTGTATGGTCTAAAAGCCCTGATTCCATGAGCCCTGAGTCTCCTGGCCACTGTCTGTCGACTAACCCTGTGACCTAAGGCATTTGTGGCCGATGACGTCACTGTCAGGAAGCGATTTCGGAGGTGCAAGGTACGCAAGTACCAGTCATCATAGGGCGTGGTCACCCTGTGTCTGCCTGTTCTTGGCCTGTCAGCGTTCCACCCTGTCTGTCTGTAAGGTTGCATCAAGTTGGTAACGGCAACACGGGAGCAACCGAAGGTTTGTGCAATATGGGCGTGGTTGGCTCCCATCTGTACCATACCCAAGGCTCGTTCACGTTGTTCGACTGTGAGTGGTAGCATTTCTTTTGTGTTTTTGTATAACTGTGGATGTCTGACTTGCCGTTGCAATCGTTTTATACCCTAAGCCGCACGTGCATTTGCAGTTGTCCGTGGTGTACGTGTTTTTCACTTTTTCGCGTGTTATCTCGCAAACATGTAACAAACGATTAACATTTTCTGCGTACACTATTGTTGTATTTAGGTTATGTGTTTTAGATAGACTGCATCGGAAAAAAAATATATGCTTTGTCTGAAATTTATATTTTCAGTTGGTAAAGTTTCTTTTGGACGTCAGTCTATAACAAGGGTTGTTGTCGAAACGATAAATAGCATTAAGTAGTGTCAGGTGTCTACTCTAAATATATCTTTCTACATTCAATGTATCCTGAACTAGGCTTCCTGCCTTGTAGCCACATGGTGACCCCGGGGAGGAAGACCCCGAAGTAATAATAATAATAATTGCAGATTAGGGACAAACTCCAGAATGCCCATATCAAGGATAACCTTCAGGCAGAGTACAAATGTAGACATAAGAACTGAGCTGAGCTGAGCGCTCGCAATAAACTTAGAGCCACAAATACTTATGCCAGTCCTTTCATATTCTTTTGGTGTTGTTGTTTGGACGAAACAAGAAACTCAGGGTATTAACACCCTCACACGAAGAATCATGTCAGACAATAGATCCCACCACCCTCGCTCTTCCCTCAATCGCCCATGGGCGAGATAGTGTAAATATTGAGTTTTTGAACAATTTTTTTTCAATTTTTTCTTCCTTGGTATGTTCCCATGAAAACAGCATGTTTAATTTTGTAAATACCTTTGACCGAGAGTCGGCAAAGACCGTAGAGTTTCTGGACTTTTGGGTTTCCAGAATTAAAATGGGACGTGTTGGCTATAGATCACCAGCAACCAAAGTTAGGCCACCTCACTAAGGACCGTGGGGACTTACATTACTTTTGCTACCTGCACGGTTCCCCAGCAGGATTTACACCAACCCTTCAGCTGCCCGGTGATGGGATGCAATTTAGCCAACAGCTAAAATAACATATATACTACGTTTAAAACCGATGTAAGCATAAATGTACTTTGAATGATGTGGTCTTACATATCCTCTCAGGGGGACAATAATTTAACGCTACTTCAACCCCCTTTGAGGATATAGCCACTAACAATCTAAGTTACATATTATACATTAGCAATATAAAAAATAGCTATTTACAGAATTCAAAATTTATCAATAAGTTCAATTTTTTTTTAAAAAAAGCCCATAATTAAATGAGAATTGATTCTATTAAAAAGATCCGTCATTGATGATGATTTGAAATATTTTTCCCTTGTGATGGAAAAATCAACACAGTCAAGCAGGACATGCTTGACCGTGATTCTTTCATCACAGGGGATGCAGAATGGAGGATCCTCACCTTTTAATATATATTCATGAGCATACCTGCTATGGCCAATACGACATCGTCGTATTATGACCTCTTCAAATCTGGACTGACAACCCAAGTAGGTGTAGCCAATAGTTGGTTTAAGTTCATGTAATTTATTTATACCTACTTGAGTGTCCCACTTCTTTTGCATTAGACCATGGATGTAGGATCTAATCACAGGTTTATAATCAGTGTATGGGATCAGAAGTGGTGTCACAGTGAATTTAATGATACAGTCCAACACATTAGCAGTGGTTGCCCAGCTTTGGCACAAACACAGTGTCACGACATGATGGTGTAGCTCGATCATTATATTACCGTCTTCGCCATGCTTGCGGTTTTGACACAGAGATCCATCCATGGTACGACCCAGAATATGTAGAGGGCGTCATCGAAAATGATAAATTGTTATCCCAATTGTTATCGGTGCCTTAGGTTTGGTACCTCCCATTGTTGACTGAAATTGGGAAGGTACCCGGGTTTGCTACCAAGAATACAGCCCTTCTGACAATCTGGGTAATACAGAAGGCAGTGTGTTTGGGAGTCTTCACATTCTCCATAAGGTTCTGGGTGGGTTTGACTAGGCAGCGCTTTCCGGGAGAAGGGGCAAGGGCCCTGATCTGATGATGAGCCTAACCAGCCTGAGCCTATATAACCGAAGCAGCCTGTAAGGCCCTAGAAGGTTGACAGCCACTTTACCATCTCATTCTACCGAGTGTCCATACACTTCTGGGTGAATTCGATCAAAGTCACATGCCTTCGGAGACACCACATGTGCTACATGTGCTGCATGTGCTGCATGTGCTTCATGTGCTTCATGTGCTGCATGTGCTTCATTGGGGGCAGGACAAAAGACGTCCTGGAAACACTCAGCAGTCCCTCATCCAGCTACTCTCTGGGACCGACGTTGTTTATCTTCACCTGATATGCGACCTGTGAGCTGTGCACAGGACCGCGTGTCACCACGTTGTATCCCCGCATGTCAAAAGAGCAAGCTAATGGGGAATGAACTCGATTATTTACAGGTCACCATAAAATAGTTTGGAAAGTAATAGTTGACCTTAAACATCTTTCTCTCACTCATCCACCCATGGTGCCCGTACAACAATTTTCTATCACCGACGGCCCAATGATACCACTTCTAATTTGAAATGCTGTGGCGTTCAACCTCAACTCTCTCACATGTTACAATACATTTATGGTGCTTTCAGGGGAGTCCGAGTGACCCCTATCTCGAAACGAATTGTACCTAGTGGTAAAAGTGTATGCTAGTCACCTTAAAATACCCATGTTATATTCGTTCATGGATAAAATATGTAGAGCCCTTTTATAGTGTCCCCGGCCGTGATATTCCTTGGGAAATGCTTAAAGCGGGGTAAAACCATAACCACTTGACTCGCCGATATAAATCGCTATCAACCACTGGTTTGCCTTAACAGATTCGTCATAATATAGCAGTATTAATAGCATGCGTAAAATACATTACCCCACATTTGACCTATCCATCCGGGATACTCAGGGCAAACAGTACGGAGTGTCCCGAGGAATGTTGTCATAGTGACCCGGTTTCATGGAGAATAAATGTCATCCTATGATATGGTACTATCACGTTTACCCATCTTCTGCACTAAAACGGTGAGAACAGAGGACGTGAGATATCAAAAACCAGCAGGTACTTACCTACGTTGCTGACATACATCCAACCTCAGAGGCTGCGACAAGAAATGTGGGCCATCCGACCAGGACGTTAAACAAGGCTTTCCACTCGCAACACGCCCATTCCTACATCAAATAAAGGAAACAAGTGCCAGTCGTTTATTGTTCGGTGCATATCACCCGTGGGTTGTGCAACTGGTATCTAGCTATAGATCAAGCTGAATAGACAAACAAACTGCCCTCTGTGTTTTTAAATATACACAGAAACTTGCGCGGATTCTGATGTTTGGAAAAGTAGGGGTTTGGCAATTACTTTCAGTTATCATGTAGTTTTGTTGAAAAGTTATCACTAAATGGGGTCAGTCATTGTGTTGTTATATGTTTACTTTTAGGATATCCAAATGTATACATGTTTATACCCCAAACAAATAAACCACACACCAGCCAGCTTGCGTTGTACGTGGAAACCAGGCTAAACCTGTTCGACAAAAATCTCTTTGTGACATGGGATGACGAAGTTATTTTATAAACCTGTAGTGGCGTCATCCGACGGTTTTACGGGGCCTCGAAGGAAGTCAAGATCGTTGAATCCAGGGCATCCTCCATTTTGCTATCTGAATGCCGGATTTCACGGATCTCGTCTGTTTTTGATGTTGATCAACAATTTGAAGAACCCCTCTTCACAGTAGTGTTACACCACCAAGATTTAATTCCATTTAGTATGAATCTACTGTTGACTTTTGACGGGTTAAAAGTCACAATTTGTTTACATAAACATTCCTTAACATGAATCGAACTTGCAAACTCACATATCATGTTTAATATTGTAACCCATTGTCCTCCCACTGAACCACCGCGGACAAGTGATGAGAGTGTGTTCAATCTTACATGCCATGACTTCAGATGTGTACATGCTGCACGTGGTCTTTCTCTGGTCAAGGTCTTGTGATTCGTTTTATTATTGTATTGTTTCACTATGAGGCATCCCGATGGGTATTTTCATTCTTTCTGGTATATCTTATATTTATTATTTTCTACATATAAATATGTGTCTCATGTGGCTACAATGTTACTAGTGACCATGTGCTTGGAGTGGAATACATATCTCACGAGTCTATTGACAAACTACCATGGGGTATATTGTATACTGCATTTCTCATTGCATTTCTGGTGACTAGTGTGTGTGAGAGAAAGAGAGAGTGCGTGTATGTGACATTATTACATGTATGCCAAGTGTCGTTGTCCCTTAACACAGAGACCGCATCCGTGGTCTAGTGGTCGAGCGTCCGCCCGGAGAGCGGAAGGTCCGGGGTTCGATCCCCGACCGCGTCATACCAAAAGACGTTAAAAGATGGTACTTGTTGTTACCCTGTCTGGCACTCGGCATTAAGGGGCTAAAACAAGGACTGGTCGGCTCGGAGTCAGTATACTATGTCTGAGTGGGGTATTCATGTTAAACTGCGGCATGATATCTCAGTGAGCTAGCACTATAAATCGGCATCAGTCGGGACTAGTACAAGCAGCCACACAAACACACACACGTACATGCACCGCTTGTGACAGTCATACTATTCCGAATCCATAACCAAAGAGTAAAGCCTTATGTGTTGCCCAGTTGTTTCTTTTAAACATTAAATAACACTAATGTGGATAAATATTTGGTTGCAGTGACATTATGGGTGACCAATACTTAATGCACCTTATACGATATATAGCATAAAGAGGGTTAGTACTACATTCACCAAATGTATGACTTATATCTAAAAGAAACTTACAAATGTGTATGCACACGTTCGATTGTTTTCGCGCGCTGTAAAACCACAGAGGGTTACTGCACCTTCTTATTGTGTTACTTTAAAAGGAATAAGGGCTGCACTATCTTGTTCCGATAGGTTCTAAGGTGTTCTAGTCCAGACATTCATTAAATTTGGACATTTATAGGTATTGACAATAGTCTTGCCATTATCATTATAAAACCATTTTTCGGGAATCGAGACGGCCACCACTTTTAAATATCATTACATTTTTTTATCCATATTAATTTCCATTCCCCATGTTACCGAGTAGGTATATAGCAAGTTTCGAGTTTCTTTTGCAGTGTTAAATGAAAATTGAAAACAGTAATGGACTGAGAGTACATCCCTGGCGGACATCAGAAGAGTGAGTGAGTATGGTTTTACGCCGCTTTTAGCAATATTCCAGAAATATCACGGAGGGGGGCGCTGTAAATGGGCTTCACACATGGACATCAGAAGAACATATGAAATATTCTGATAGTTTCTTAGCACTTCCTTTGACAATTTCACACTATCAGAGATACTCTTAATAACAATATCATACAAATTTTTAATAACCTAACAAAACTTCCCCTGTACTCCAATTTACAATAACACATAACATTTTTTTCAAAAGATCAATGTTTTTCGAATGTACCCTTTCCCAGAGTTATAATATTTGTGGACAGGTGATTGGAGGATATTAATATTATCTGCAGTAGAATTCTTTTCTAAAACCACCGTGGTATTCTTCAACCATATGGGCGGTCGGGTAGCCTAGTGGTTAAAGTGTTCGCTCGTCACGCCGAAGACCCGGGTTCGATTCCCGACATGAGTACAATGTGTGAAGCCCATTTCTGGTGTCCCCCGCCGTGATATTGCTGGAATATTGCTAAAAGCGGCGTAAAACCAAACTCACTCACTCACTCACTCTTCAACCATATGGTCAGGCTGTGGGAAATATGCCTTTGATCAATATCTGACTGAACAAAATAGTTAAATATAGAACTAAGATAGCTGGTTTAAGACTTTCTATCGATTTTGGAACTTCACATTCAGTAATATCACTTAATAGATAATCGGGTAGTTTTAAACATGAAAATCTCTTTGTTAATCACCAAAATATAATACCCTTCCTTCCATTGCAGCCTTACATAACTAGCTAGAAACTATATTTCGGAATGATTGCTGCTTCAAATGAGTAAGTGAGTGAGTAAGTGAGTATGGTTTTACGCCGCTTTTAGCAATATTCCAGCAATATCACGGCGGGGGACACCAGAAATGGGCTTCACACATTGTACCCATGTCGGGAATCGAACCCGGGTCTTCTGCGTGACGAGCCAACGCTTTAACCACTAGGCTACCCGACCGCCCCTGCTTCAAATGACAAATATGCTTAAATCATCTGTTTGCTATTCAAATAACAAGGAATTAAAGAGACCAGAACTCCAAAGAAATAAATATAACGCCCGAATCAAACAACGTTTGCTGTTTATTATTTTAGTTGTATACCTGTGAAGGTGAACATTGCCACGGTGCACCACATACTCTTTATATATTCCGCAACAGTAGAATCAATACTTACATATACTATAATATTAATTTCTTTCAGCATTTCTCAGAAGGTTGGTGCTTCTAATCGGTTTCGCACTTCATCTCTATCATCATATTTCCACTTATATTTTACCCTTGGTGTTGAACTTTCTGAGAGTCTAATACAATTTTGATATTGTCATAACATGACTGACAAAGGCCGATGGTTAGATAACGTAAATTGGATATAACAGTATAATGGTCAGTATATTGGAAAGAGACTGTGACATACCATTAATCAGAGGTAATGTAACCATTAATGACCGATACAGGTGAAGTCACTGGTAACATCCGAAAATCTTCAATTAAAAAATGCAACAATGTTGTGTGATCCCCATATACATCTACGCCGTGCTTTTTTGTGCATAGAGACTTTGTATGTGTCGATAGAGGCTTGGAACTGAATGTAAATATGTATTTGGGTTTTTTTCCGTATGCAAAGTAAGATTAAACAAACTGTTACTGTTTCCTGTCCGGCTGATGCAGGTTCACTGAAACAACATAAACCGAAAGTAGGTATTTTGTTCAAGTTTCACTTTCACTTCAGCAGCCATGGTTAGTCATTACGTCATTAGGAGTCACTCCAGGCATGGAACTATGTTACTAGAATATGATTGGCATATTTATGTATACCTGACAATATCTAACAATATATGTCCTTCCACAAAACGGTATATATTGCCATACTTTACACAACAATCGAACATGACAAAAGGACATCGATATTAATTAATATTCATGTGAGACACCAGTACACCTACACGCGGTGTGTAAGTTCTGGCTGTGATATATAAGTCTTCCATGTCTCAGCCTTACTAGTACGGCATGATGGTATGGGGGGAAAGTTGACCGGCGTCAAATCATACCTCATTACCGAGAGATCTCGATCACTCATGCTACCTTACTTACCTATTACTTACCTATTCTCAAACAAGTTGCACAATGTTGTGTGATCCCCATATACATCTAGGCCGTGCTTTTTTGTGCATACAGACTCTGTATGTAAGTGTGTCGATTGAAGCTTGGAACTGAATGTAAATACGTATTTTGGGGGTGTTTTCGTATGCACATTAATGATGTTGTTATGACGCATGTCATGTTTATTTCAAGCTGGATAAATCTATGTACACCGTCCCATCCTCTGAGTAATGTAATTAATATACCGCTATACCTTTCAAAAGTTGAATAGTATGTACGGTGAGTGTGACCCGTTCTAATGATTTTGTCAATCAATTCACACTATAAGGTTCTGATCATGTGTGAACAAATCATACAGAACACTGCAGTGTTAGTCGGGAACTCTAGTTGCAAATGTGTGTGTGTGTTTGTGTGTGTGTGTGTGGGGGGGGGGGGGGGGGGGGCGGGGATATGCAGCACGTCAGTGCTCTGTGTACACTGCCTGGTGAAACGAGCGCAGTGCGTCAGCACTGTCAGCGCTGTCAGTATCCAGATACACCGTTTAGGGTGTTCACCTTTATATGAATAAGAATAGCAATATCTTAAACCTTTACCCAGTTGTGAAAATTAATAGTAAGTGAGTATGGTTTTACGCCGCTTTTAGAAATATTCCAGCAATATCACGGCGGGGGACACCAGAAATGGGCTTCACACATTGTACCCATGTCGGGAATCGAACCCGGGTCTTCGGCGTGACGAGCGAACCACTAGGCTACCCGACCGCCCCTGAAAATTAATAATGGATAAAACAAAATCTTTTGAGAATAACAAATGCAAATTCCCTGAATACGTGATTTCCTATATATATCGTTTATTCAATTTCTAACCTGTTTCCCAAAATGTTGTTCGATAATTTAATATGACGAAGACATTAAAACTTCGATCCATGAGTTTTTAAGTATATACCTATTTGTCAATAAGGTATGTCACCCCTATGGAAACTTGTAAAATGTTTACCTTACAAGCAAAAACACAATCAGACCAATGACCCGCTTTGTCATCCAATGGAGTGAGTGAGTGAGTGAGTGTGTTGGGTTTAACTCCGCTTGTAACATTATTCAAGTTATATCACGGCGTGTCAGCTTAATGTGGGAGGAAATCACGAAGTGATGCAGGTCACAGACGTTTACAACTTCGGTGAAGCCCACGAGCACGGGTATGGTGCTGACAAACCTGGAAACATAATTGGGGCGAACCGGGATTCGAGCCCACAATCATAGGTTTCTGGCGTGCTCAAGGGACGCGGCGCCTTAGACGACTGGGCTACCCGTGCCCCCTCATCCAATGGAAGAACATGCACTGTGTGCCCAACAACAGGAACAGCGATTAATTGTTACTTACGTTAGATCCTACCGCGCGTTCACAAAATGATCTCATCAGACACGTTGGCAGTTTTATTACTTTAAACCAAGACCGAAGATAGAATCATTCAACTACTCCCAATACAAGATGTAAATAACGTTGAAAGACGCGAACGATTATAATAAATAAATCAACGCGACAAAGTCCTTAACATATTCAGAAGAAATATTTGCAAAATGCAGAATCGATTGCATGATTCCAGCTATATCATGAGTACGTCTTTACGAATCAAATAGTTTTGTTTGTTGTTTAACACCGCACTCATCGGTATTCCAGCTATATGAGTCTGGACCTGAGAATCCAGTGTTTCTTGAGCATCCAACTACACCATTAAGACGTCTCTCGCGAGAAGCACAATTGCCTCTTACGACACGCATGGGTTGCTGAAAACATATTCTATTCAGAGAGGCTGACGTAATGTGGTATCTAGGCAGAGAAAGGGTACATCACAGAGACTGACGTAAACGTGGTATCCAGTTAGACAAAGGCTACATCACAGAGTGTGACGTAAACGTGGTATCTAGGCAGAGAAAGGGTACATCACAGAGGCTGACGTAAACGTGGTATCCAGTTAGACAAAGGCTACATCACAGAGTGTGACGTAAACGTGGTATCTAGGCAGAGAAAGGGTACATCACAGAGACTGACGTAAACGTGGTATCCAGTTAGACAAAGGCTACATCACAGAGTGTGACGTAAACGTGGTATCTAGGCAGAGAAAGGGTACATCACAGAGGCTGACGTAAACGTGGTATCTAGGCAGAGAAAGGGTACATCACAGAGGCTGACGTAAACGTGGTATCTAGGCAGAGAAAGGGTACATCACAGAGTGTGACGTAAACGTGGTATCTAGGCAGAGAAAGGGTACATCACAGAGTGTGACGTAAACGTGGTATCTAGGCAGAGAAAGGGTACATCACAGAGGCTGACGTAAACGTGGTGTCTAAGGCGGACAAAGGGTACATCACAGAGGCTTACGTAAACGGTATCTAGACAGAGGAAGGGTACATCACAGAGTGTGACGTAAACGTGGTATCCAGGCAGAGAAAGTTTACACCACGGAGGCAGAAGTACGTATAATGATCCATCCACGCAGAGAAAGGATACATCACAGAGGCTATCTCAGTATTCCTTGTCTGTATACTATGTGACATTCAGCCACCGGTATAAAAGTACGGCTTCGATGTATATGAGGGTCGAACAGTGTGTACACATTATCGTCAGGGTGCAGAGAGTAAACGTGGAATGCACAATGTGACACTGTTATACGTGGAATGCTCAACGTCACACCGTTATACGGCACTTGTACGCGTGTCTTTCGTCTTTAGACATTAGCGTACCGGTGCAGATCGCTGAGTCTACTTATTCCGCGAATGGACCAGTGTTCCCAATACCATCTTGCCGTACTATTAATTCAGGTCACCATAAACCTTATATAACCCAGACATTCCGTAACTACTGCATATGGGTGTGCTGGTGTCTTTGTCCTATATTAATTCATTTGGCGTTGTTTTATCAAATGCTCCCCAATTTAACATTTGTGATAACATAAACTAATTTGTGGAATAATACGCATCATTTATAAGCTTAATATGTGCTTTATATGATTCTATTTGTCATTATACCAACCTGAAGCAAACCTATTATTATCATTATTTCGTGGGTATAAATAGACCTGGAAGCGTATATGAAATACTGAAATTCAAAGGTAGTGCGTGATCAGCCTTCAAATACCCTATCCGGTTATATGAACGTGACATAATCAGCCGGTGTATTGCTATTGCATGGTTGCCTAGCAGGAAACAAAATGACATAATCTTATTTCTTTAAAGCATTTCAATTTATTACACATTGTGGGTTTCAGGGCTCAGTGGGGTCCTTACGTATGTACGTGTGTGTTTGTGTGTGTGTGTGTGTTTGTGTGTGTGTGTTTGTGTATGTGTGTGTGTGTGTGTGTGGAGGGGGGTGAGGATCGGTGTATTTAGAGGATCGGGGGGTGAGGATCTGTGTATTTAGAGGATCGGGTGGTCAGACTCGGTGATTTTCTTGATGTGCATACCAGCTGTATGCATACATTTATAATTTGAAAACAACTAGATTTGGTATTGTCAGCAGCATATCGTTCTCCCATTTTCCTCAACACTCAAAATACTATCTAAATGACGTTTATCCCAACTCATTCACTTTAAATCCTTTATCAAATATGTTTTACCAATGTTTGATATTCGTAGTCTTTCACTTAATCTGTGTGTAAATATTAAATCATTAAAGCGACGTTAAAGTCCATTCTTCTGACAACCCGACCAACATAATATTTCAGCAAGTGGGATTCGCCCGATTATCAACATCCAGTTCACTAGCTTTTCACTGGCGTTTCGCTTCGTCCGGATTATTACACTACTTCCTGTCTGATGCAAACTCGCGTTATCAAGGTAAACAACGTCAAATGGATAAATACTCCTCCACTAAGCCGTAATATTTCCAAGGCGATTAATATTGTTTCATATTCTTCTCTTTAGTGAACTGAGTGCCTTGAACTCACTCTGTATGGTAAGTTAAAACATGATGACATGCTGTTGTGTCATTACGCTCGTCCTTTTTTCGATCACTATCAAACACCTGCTTGCTTCACCGAAAACCGAAAAATAAGTCAATGGTTTTCATAATCACAGGTATGCAAAGGTATTTTGTAAGTTTAGCCTTTACGCTCTTCAGATCGAATGGTAATCGGATACGCTAGTTACAGCATCTGTGTTCTCAACAAGAACTCAAGCTACCTTGACCGTATTCATCATTTGGTGTTCAAACATTGTATAGATACGGATTAGGTAATGTATCATGACATATGCTGCATCGTGTTATATTGTTTATATTCGGAGGATTAATTTCTATCAATACTAATTGCGTAATCTGTGTGTAATCCAAAACATGTGACTCTTTCGAACAATATGGTTGAATTTAGTAAAACTTCCCTGGAATTTTAAAAATTCTTTACCCCTGGCTAGAAGTTTCAAAATATCATTTACAATGTACATGGAGGCTAGGGCTTGTCAAAATTTGAAGCACGTTTACATGTTGAGCTTCCTACATGTAAGTTCACAATTCATTATGTTCATTGGGGTTATGGCAAAAATGGCACCTCAGCAAAACGTCACCGAATGGACTGATTGGTGAAAACAGAGCCTCAGTCAAAGTGAAATTGTATTTAACATGTTTATGATACATGACAGGGTGCTATCAGATCACACTTCTTCACAATGTATCAAAGTGTTGCATGCTCACACAATGCTCTGCTGTAACTGTCCATCTACCAGTGCTGTAAAGCAAATGTGACAAGATGACAATGAATATTGTGAATAGTGACATGTGGTGACAATGATGGTGATGAATACTCAAAGCAATACAAATAAATAAAACATATATACAGGTGCTGTTTCCGCCTGATGAAATTGGTGACATTTTGCTGAGGTGACATTTAGCATGTTAGCCTACACCGTGTTTATTGTAGATCTAGTCAAGGTCATATATGGCCCATATTGCATGAAAAATCTATTAATGTAACATGTTTGAGGTTGGAATTGGAATTCACAAAGTAAATATTTATCAATAGTACAATATCTTTTTTCATCATTCAATATACACAGTTATAAGGTAGGTAAAACTAACAAATCACTCAATTCATCTCTCTCATCTTCATGTAAAGGACAACTGAAAATGATTCTCATTTTCAAGACCATTACATTCCATACAACAACCATGAGCATCACATGAAGACTTGAAGTGCATATGCGTCTGCCAACATTTTGTATTTCAAATTAGTTAAACCTGCTGTGAAATCTAAGTAAGGCTTTTTCTGCATTGGAACACTTATTAGAGCTAAATAAGAGACTTACACATGTTAAAAGAGTCATAGAATTGGAGAACTGTTTTATCAGTAACCAAAGAATGCCAATCTTGTGATGAACAATCTTTAACTTATACATGTGAATGTTTTGTCAGTATTTCTGAATGTCAATATTGGGGTTACGGATCATCCCGTAAAAACATCTACCAGTGTGCACTGTAAGATTTACAGTGAAGCAAGTAATTAAGGAAGAGACTCGTATATAGATTTTACAGCAGAGATTTACAGTGCTGTAAATTCTACAGCACACATCGGCAGACTTTTCTTATGTGTGACTTGCAGCCCCAGCTGTGACATATGGGAAAACTGATAAGAGGATATGGTAACCATGGTAACCAGAGCTAACCTTTAGCAGGCTTAAAAGTTTTCTATGTAAATTTTGTTGTTGTGGAAAGATAACCACTTCTCACAAATTATCTTTTTTGTATCAACTCCCTGATTTCTGTTATTTTATGGAGTTTGTATAAGTGAAGAAATTGTTAATAAGATGTTTGTCCACATTATTTCTTAAAGTCACTGATTTAGGAAGCACAGAATATGTCACATGTTTTAGCTTTTCACTGACAGGACTTGAGCGTGTTGAGTGAATATTTGAGTGAATGTTGTTTGACACTACAGTCAGAAATATGCCATCTAAGCACAAGTCAAACATGTGACTGAAAGCATAAGTAATGATGCCCCTGTTCAGGTCATGCTGACATTTCGCCAAGTTCACTGAACAGGGCGGTTGGGTAGTCTAGTGGTTAAAGCGTTCATTCGTCAAGCCGAAGACCCGGGTTTGATTCCCGACAATACAATGTGTGAAGCCTATTTCTGGTGTCTCCCGCCGTGATATTGCTGGAATATTGCTAAAAGTGGTGTAAAACCATACTCACTCACTGACCCTGACCATCAGTTTCTCATTAATTTTATTGGCTCTGACAACAAGAATGGAATAAGGTGGACATGTTCTTGCCTACAATCCTCAGGGAGTTGGGACTTTTTAAGCGTACTGATAACTGTCCTGTAAATATGTGGGATCAAAATTAAAGGGGGGAGGTCTCCTCAGGTATATGAATCTGTAGGGGACCCCCCTTATCTTTCACTTTTAGTATTAGGATTATCACAGGACCACTTGACTTTCATGCTTAGTTTGGAGCACAGAATAATGAATGGGTTTGATTTTCAACTCCAGAAATGGCAGATGCAGTAGATGGTGCCCCTGAATCAAGAGCTGAAGCTAAAGGTCAAGCTCATCAAGGCTCTAAGAAAAAGAACAAATCAAAAAACAAAAAGTCAGGAGGAGATGGAGGTTCCAAAAAGCCTCCCAAAGAGGAAGTAGTGAAAAAACAAGATGGTCAAAGTCAAGGACCCTCAAAAGACGACACCACAAAAGATGAGGGTCAGGATGTTCCCCAGAAAAGCAAAGCAGAACTTAAAGCAGAACGTAGAGCTAAGCAGGTACACGGTGTCATATATGACTTAGTGAAAGGGAAATCTGGCTATATTTTGGGGCAGGTAACAATAAAAGTAACATGGTTAGGGCATGACTGCAAATGTTTTTCGAGATATGCAGCCCAGAGTTGATGTCTGCCTGGATGATGTTGAGTTCACTGCCTATTTAAACTATTGTGTATCAGGAGTTCTTTAACACTGGTGGATGTAAAGTGATGAAACACCTAACACCGACATGACATTGTTGGTTCTCCCTCATTCCGCTGACACTGGTGGATGTAAAGTGATGAAACACCTAGCACCAACATGACATTGTTGGTTCTCCCCACATTCAGCTGACACTGCTGGATACAACTGGAATACTCATTCTTTTACCACCAGCAAGAAAATCTGAATTAAAAAACGCTATGTGGTGAAATTAAAATGTCAGGAAATTATTATTGATAACACACTGCCAATAAAAAGTTACAAGAAGGAACTACTTGAAGTCTCTAATGGGGGGACTATTTTGTTATCCAGCTTACCAATGCTTATTGTGACTTTTTACCGCATTGTCCCACAGGATTACTGGCTTACTTTTATCACCTGTTTGAAATTAGAATTAACCCCTCACGTCAAGCGTACAGAAACTCTAATGTTTTTCACTATTTTGTCAGGAGGCACAGAGAGCCGTCAAAGCCACGAAAAAGGCGGAAGGTCCAGGTGAGACAGTAATTGAATAGTGGCATAATCAGCTGCTGCTGATGTTGATAGATCATGGAGAAATGTGTGGTCATTGTGATGCATGTTTCCAATTATCGCCTGTCATGTATGCCACTGAACTGAAACCCCAGTCTGGTCAACATTCCTTTTGTCTCAGCTCCGCTAATAAGTATCACTAACTAAAGACTAAGATCTGCTAGAGATGATGCCGAAAGATAACTGGGATAACTGGCACTGAATCCATCAATGAATGATGTTTGTGTTTAAAAGCTAGCTGTCAGACTGCCGGTATTTAGCTGCAGCTCAATTCAAGCATGTGCACCATGTTCATGTGGCATGATGTGGGGTTGTTGTCTCACAGCAGGTCAGCAAAAGAAGGAGACGGTGCGAGTCCCGGACCATGTGAAGGCCGACGTACCAGAAACACAAAAGAAGTTGGCCAAGAAATTAGAGAAACAGCAAATAGCACAGAGAGCCAATGTCCAGCGCAAGGTCCGCCTGTTCAATCATCTGTACCAGTACGAGAGAGAGGTGCCCCCGACGCACTCCTTACAGTCAGTACACCTCTCCGTTGTTATCATTCCCCCGACACACTCCTTACAGTCAGTACACCTCTCAGTTATCATTCCCCCGACACACTCCTTACAGTCAGTACACCTCTCCATTGTTATCATTCCCCCAACGCACTCCTTACAGTCAGTACACCTCTCAGGTATCATTCCCCCGACACACTCCTTACAGTCAGTACACCTCTCCATTGTTATCATTCCCTCCGACACACTCCTTACAGTCAGTACACCTCTCATTCCCTCCGACACACTCCTTACAGTCAGTACACCTCTCCGTTGTTATCATTCCCTCTGACACACTCCTTACAGTCAGTACACCTCTCAGTTATCATTCCCCCGACACACTCCTTACAGTCAGTACACCTCTCCGTTGTTATCATTCCCTCCGACACGCTCCTTACAGTCAGTACACCTCTCCGTTGTTATCATTTCCTCCGACACGCTCCTTACAGTCAGTACACCTCTCAGTTATGATTCCCCCGACACACTCCTTACAGTCAGTACACCTCTCCGTTGTTATCATTCCCTCCGACACGCTCCTTACAGTCAGTACACCTCTCAGTTATCATTCCTCCGACACGCTCCTTACAGTCAGTACACCTCTCCGTTGTTATCATTCCCTCCGACGCACTCCTTACAGTCAGTACACCTCTCAGTTATCATTCCCTCCGACGCACTCCTTACAGTCAGTACACCTCTCCGTTGTTATCATTCCCTCCGACACGCTCCTTACAGTCAGTACACCTCTCAGTTATGATTCCCCCGACACACTCCTTACAGTCAGTACACCTCTCCGTTGTTATCATTCCCTCCGACACGCTCCTTACAGTCAGTACACCTCTCAGTTATCATTCCTCCGACACGCTCCTTACAGTCAGTACACCTCTCATTCCCTCTGACACACTCCTTACAGTCAGTACACCTCTCAGTTGTTATCATTGCCCCAACGCACTCCTTACTGTCAGTACACCTCTCAGTTATCATTCCCTCCGACACACTCCTTACAGTCAGTACACCTCTCAGTTATCATTCCCCCCCGACGCACTCCTTACAGTCAGTACACCTCTCAGTTATCATTCCCCCCCGACACACTCCTAACAGTCAGTACACCTCTCAGTTATCATTCCCTCCGACACACTCCTTACAGTCAGTACACCTCTCAGTTATCATTCCCCCAACGCACTCCTTACAGTCAGTTCACCTCTCAGTTGTTATCATTCCCCCGACACACTCCTTACAGTCAGTACACCTCTCAGTTATCATTCCCCCGACACACTCCTTACAGTCAGTACACCTCTCCGTTGTTATCATTCCCCCTGACCCACTCCTTACAGTCAGTACACCTCTCCGTTGTTATCAACTCCCCCTGACACACTCCTTACAGTCAGTACACCTCTCCGTTGTTATCATTCCCCCTGACCCACTCCTTACAGTCAGTACACCTCTCCGTTGTTATCATTCTTCGACGAACTCCTTACAGTCAGTACACCTCTCATTCCCTCCGACACACTCCTTACAGTCAGTACACCTCTCAGTTGTTATCATTCCCTACGATACACCCCTTACAGTCAGTACACCTCTCAGTTGTTATCATTCCCCCGACACACTCCTTACAGTCAGTACACCTCTCAGTTGTTATCATTTCCTACGATACACCCCTTACAGTCAGTACACCTCTCAGTTATCATTCCCCCGACACACTCCTTACAGTCAGTACACCTCTCAGTTGTTATCATTACCCCAATGCACCATGTTCAAATAACAGTAACCATCTCTAAATTCAGATTGATCAATCAGAATGGAGTATTTACCAAAGTTACATTAAACTGTGTCATTACAGTTTATTAATTTAAATGCTTTGTGTGTGGTTTTAGATTCTCTAATGGAGGTATCCACCCGTCTGTTGTGAAGCTCGGTGTTCAGTATGCAGAGGGTCTTGTCAGCGGATCTAACGCCAGATGTGTGGCTCTGTTAGCTGCCTTCAAGAAAGTAAGTTCAGCTCAGGTGATAGTGATGTAACAAGATCTGCAAAACTTTTGTTATCATTCAGGTTACTAGGTGTTCTTGAACATTGCAAGGTTTGATGAAAATGAGAATTGTTTATGTGTGAACTGGCTGAATGTGTGTCAACATAATCTGATAGCACTTATTATTGTTCATGCTATAAGGGCCACTTGTTTTCACTCACAAACTTGATTATTTACATGCCACCTTAATACTGATGACTGTCTCCGTGGTCTAGTGGATAGTGTGTCTGTCTGGAGAGTGTAAGTTCAGGGTTCGATCCATGATTTTATCATACCAAAAGACATTGAAATATGGTACTTGTTGTTACCCTGCCTGGCACTTGGCATTATGGGGATAAAACAAGGACTGGTCGGCTTAGAGTCAGTGTACTGTGTCTGAGTGGGGTATACAAATTAATTAGAGGCATGGTATCTTAGTTGACTAACGCTGTAAAACCGGCAAAAGTCTGGACTAGTACATGCAGCCACACACACATATGCATGTTGCATATTGCTGTAAGTGCAATGATCTTGAATGTGACATAAAACTTCATTTCACCACACCTCACCAATAATGATGAAATATTTAATACTGACTTTGCTGACAGAGGCCTCAATTAACATTCACTCTTGTACTTGTGTTCTGGGACCTCTTTATCATGTAATCAAACATCATTTGCATAGAGAATATCAATAATAATACTATAAGTAATTCTAAGACTATGTAGTACTAGAATGGTTTTTAAAAAGATAATTAACATGCATGATTTGACCTTCAATTGTAGGTGATCACAGATTATAATACTCCGCCGCAGAAGGAACTGTCACGGGACTTGGAGAATAAAATCAAGCCCTACATCAGGTAAACTTTCGGTTCATCAAATTGAATCAGTCATCAATAAGACGTTTGATATTGTCTGGTCAAAGCTTTATTATTTACAGGCTGCTTAAAATTGCCGAGTGCGTCTTTAAATAATATATGTATTTGCAATGTGTTGCCACAAGAGCTGAGAAGATACAGTGAAATATGTTAGAATGCATATTTTCTTACCTTACATTAAAATACTACCTTCTGATTGGTTGAGGAGTAGGCAATTTATTTTCCATGTTGCCCGCTAAAAGGCAGGATACAAATTTCATGTAGCCCTCTACGAAATCAATCGGAACACATCTCAGGTAACTTGATTATCCTGTATAAATAGCTTTGAGTTTCTGATATGAACCGATTTATATTTGAACGTATGGGTAAAGTTATTCAATTTGTTTGCATTATCTGCTACAGTAGTAGAAACTTACATTTTTAGTCCACTAGTCCTTACAATGATAACATATAGCAAAACCCTGAAAAATGGCAAATTTCTCCTACCGGTAGTCCTTATGATACCTTAACTAATGGACAGTTTGGCAAGGACTACAGGACTAGTGCCAATTTCTAACGTTGTGCTACTTGTTTTGATAACTCAGTGAACTGCAAACATAGATTCCGGACCTGTATGAATGAATGAGACGGTTTTTTCCTATTTGAGAATATTTACTGACAATTTAGGTTTTGGACTAAATATTGGTCTGTGAGTAGGTGTAGGGACTTCCCTGTAACAGATATGTTTATGAAGGGTGTCGATTGTTTTCTTTTTGTGTCAGCTTCCTGGTGCAGTGCCGGCCGCTGTCAGTGAGCATGGGGAACGCCATCAAGTACCTCAAGTGGAACATCAGTCACATGCCGAGGGAGTTGTCAGATGCTGAGGTAGAACACTTGATCTGTTTCCAAGATAAAGGCTATGTATCGGGTGTCAGGAAGTTAAACAATTGACAATACTTTGGAAGTTGCATGTAATGATGGTCTTGTATCAAACAACTAGACAGATCCTGATTTATGCCTGGCTGCAGTAGCTCTATATTTGATGAACTTATTTACTCTGTACTGCAGAACTGCCATATTGAAGGGTTAGATACTTTTAGAAAATCAAACATGTTTTAGTTAGTTGAGTGAATGACCTCTAGTTTTCTGGAGTATCTTTTACAAAATTTATTTGTTTATCAAAAAGACCATCTATAAACTATTTGTAAAGTCGTATGATTGTTGAGGTAGAGAAAATGATTCTGAACAACATATATAGGAAGGATTAAAATTTTAACTTCCAATAATTTGCTGTCTAAACATTTAGGAATGAGATCTTTGAAACTTTTGCAGTTTCTACTAAAATTTGTTTCCAAGCAACCTATGCTTATCATAAGAGACAGCATAATGGATCAGGTGGCCAGGCTCAGTGACTTGGTTGATTGCGAGTCATTGTACCTGGACCAGGTGGATCATTGCTCATGATATCAATCACTGGTTGTCTGGTCCAGACTCCAGTATTTACAGGAGGCCGTTGTTTATGTGGAAAGTTGCTGAGTGTGAAATAAAACAACAAACAAACAAATACTATAAGACTTAGGCTGTGTTTCTGGTTTGAATGTGAAACGGTTTCTGTGAGCCAGGCTAAACAACGACTGAATGACAGCATCGACTCCTTCATCCACGAGAAGGTGCTGATGGCTGGCAAGGCTATCTCCATCTATGCTGGCCCCAAGATCACAGATGGAGATGTCATTGTTGTCTATGCATGGTGAGTGAGGACAAAATTCTTTGCCATATTATCTGCCGCTACACATAAGCTTATTCCAAAGACTGTTTGCTGTTGTTGGGCCTGTTTGCATACACTGTCATTGAAACTTGGCATGCATCAAGAACATCAAAAACATGTCAAGTGCACTTGCAAGGATGTTTAGGTGTGCCCTTTGGAATCTAAGTGTGTCAACGAGACGATCACTCATGGTATTTTTATATCTATCTTCCAACCCATCAGACTGCCTCAATGGTCTAGTAGTAGCGTGTCCGCCCGAAGAGCGGAAGGTCCAGGGTTCGATCCCTGTCTGCATTAAACCAAAAGACATTAAAAAATTGTATTTGTTACCCTGTCTGGCACTCAGCATTAAAGGGCTAAAACAAGGACTGGTTGGCTCGGAGTCAGTATAGTGTATCTGTGTTGGGTATTCATGTGAGACTGCGGCATTGTATCTCAATGAGCTAGAACTATAAAATCGGCACGCAGGCACCTAGATAGTTCACCAAGTTTTCCGCTCATGCTCATTCACATGTTCATTACCTAATGTTAGTCCAATTTACTTGTGCAAATGTACATTTATAGCACTAGCTTCACATTATAAACATTATCACAAGTATGTTTGTTTAAATGGTGTCCATGTGTGTCACAAGGCACCAGGAAGTTATTTTAACCATGTCATTATGATTTTAACCAAGTAATTGACAGTAATGACACTCAGTGAGTTTTTCCCTGTAAATAAAACAGTGAAGCTCCATACTTGGCAATGGTAGTTATCCAGACTCTGGGCCCAGGGCAAACTTCAGACCATACTGCCAATACAGATTGGATTGTTAACTGAGAGTATTATTGTCTTTAATGATGTTTTTAATTCAAGGTTTCACTGATGCATATTAGGGCTGGGACGAGTCCAAATTTACTACCCGGGTACCCGCCCCCCTATTACCCTACCCTACCCGGGTACCCACTGTAGGTCTCAGGAGATGTCTCAAACTGTCCGTTTGGTAACTTTTTTTTAGCATATCCCTGCAAGATTATTTAGATACAAGTATTAATAATCTGGTCATGCATACACTGAAGTTGACTAAGTTATATCTTTATTCAACCATATCGGACGGAATGGGTGCATAGTCAGAATGAAAAACGAACATTAATGACTTTCAGTGTAACCGTAGAGTTCTAGATAATTTTCATTTGACAATATATCACGTGACTAACCATGGGTCTGGGTAGTCCTGTGGGTACCCAGGACCTACTCAGTACCCACCCGACCCGGGTACCCGAGTTACCCGTCCCAGCCCTAATGCATATCTATGATCTATCTATAGTGTTTCATGGTAGATGTTGTACCTTCCACTCAATGTTAGTCATTAATGGTTAGAGTGTACCATGTGAATAGACCACCATCCATCTTGGATGATAGTGGATGGTGGGATGGCCTAGAAGTTGCAGCATTAGCTCATCATGCTTAAAAACGGGTTCAGTTGCCCACTTGGAAACAATGTGCAAAGTCCATATCTTGTGTACACCAAGTGAAACTGCTGTGGCAAACAGCGGAGTGAAACACGCGCTCACTCTCTCTGACCTGATTTTGCAAACAAGTTTGGTTATATCACTGAAATATTGCTGACCGTTTCACCTTTCTATCTTGAATATGTCCCACATATATTTATACATTTCAGTTCAAGTTTAATCAAACGAGTGCTCTGTGATGCCCACCAGCAAGGGAGGAAATTCAGGGTCATTGTCATCGATGGAAGGCCAAAAATGGAAGGTGGGTTGTCAAGGCCTGCGAGTTGTTTGGATATTTACTATGAAGCATTGGCATTCCCATCCTATTCTGAGTCATAATTTGAAAAGCGTTCAATTTTTTTCAAAACAACTTGGTGATTGCATTGCTCCTCAGCTTAACTGGTGCATTTCACTATTTAAATTTTTTTCTAAATTTTATTTTGTTTCATTTCCATGGAAACAATTTGGACTTTGTCTCAAACAACTCAAGGCTTTGTTTCAGGGCCAGAAGTCGAAAACCAAAAAATATTATTGAATGAAAGTATACATGTACAATGGCCACATGCTCAACTAGTGCCTTTTCATATTTTTTATTTTAATTTTTTTTAAACTTATCCTATCTCTTCCCAATTTTTTCGATCCTATGTGCAAACGTGCCACTAGGCTACCCGACCGCCCCAAGGGTGTCATTAAATAAGAATAAAGTAATAATAGAAAATGTGGTCAAGTTCACAGTTTTATTATCATCAGATAAATGTAACTAAAGAGGACCACGCCGAAGACCCAGGTTTGATTCCCGACATGGGTACAATGTGTGGAGCCCATTTCTGGTGTCCCCTGCCATGGTATTGCTTGAATATTGCTAAAAGCGGCGTAAAACCAAACGCACTCACTCACTCCCTGGTCTCTGGAGTACAGCTCCATGATGCCCACTCACAAGTTCCTGTCGTATATGACAATAGGGTTGCGACGGGTACTCGAGTACCCAATAACGGGTCGGGTAGCCTAGGATTCGAATACCCGTTCAGGGGAGATAACTCTAATCGCCTTTCGTAACTCGTAAGTCACTTCAAAATGGACGACAAAGCGGACAAACGTTCAAATGTGTGGGCGTATTTTGATCTTGATGACACAAAGAAAAAGACCAAATGCCAAAGAATGGAGAAATGTATAGTGTGACATTGGATAATTATATAAATATACAATTTTATGTAAAATGTTCAATTTTTTAATTTCTTGTGTTTCCTTGGAAACAATTTGGACTTAGTCTCCACATGTAGCAATTGTTTCCTGCCCAAACTCTACAGCTTATGAATATTTCTGCATGAAACCATGGTCTTAATTGTTTTTTTGATTTGCAAACACATTTAAAGTAACAACTTGAACTTATGTATCTGAAAAGGACGGGGTAGACATGTTCTTATGAGTACAGTTACAAGGAGATTGGTTTTGAGTCACATTGTCATCTTTGCTGAAGCTCAAAGCAAACTCCTTCAACAGTCTGGGACACAGGTAGCCCAGTTGTCAAAGGTGCCACAATTTGATGTGCGGAGTTGCATCCCTTTGCTGTGCCAGAAACATGATGATCATGGGTTTGAATCCCACATTCACTGTAATTATGTTTCTTGGTTTGTCACCAAAGTGCCTACTGAAAATGTCAAGTGGAAAGTCCATCTTATAACTGAAATACTGTTCAAAACCACAGTCACTCACTCACTCACTTAAACAGTCTGAGATCAGACATGTTTTATAGATGTTTATATTATTTGTATGTGCAGTGGAACCATGGTCCCAAAAAATCATATGTTTTTGAGAACAAGATGGCAACACTATTTAAGAAATATAAGACGACTGGGCGTTGTTTATTGTACAATAAAACACTGCATGGAGAATAAACCATGAGGGGTTTATTCTCCGTGCAGTGTTTTATTGTATGATAAACAATGCCCACAAGTCGCTTATTTCTTATATGAGATATCAACATTACATACAGCCTCTTTTAGGATGTTAGTAAAATGTACACGCTTTACAAATAGTTACCCGTATTTAAATAATGACAACTCCCTGAATAAAATCTGACCATGACAATGTCAGACAAGTCCATTTAAGAACATTGTTTGGTCTTTCCTGCATATTCTCACTATTTCATGCCGTTTATCCGCACCTATTCTCCCAATACCGATTGTCATATCTCTCCCACTTTTGGAAGTGATTGTTCGGCCATTGCGTTTATCTATGATGTCCAGCTACATATATGGGGAACAACTCACTCAACACTTCCCTCTCAAAAATAACATTGTCCAATTTACGACGTCATCAAGTTGCGAGTGCATGTTCTAATCCCCAGGAATTACGTCATGATAGAACAACGTTTTATCGTGAAATAAACCATGTTTCGTTCTTCATTGTTCTTGGCGATTTATCGTGTAGCTGTCTAGTATATCAAAATAAAACACACAATTCAGAAGCAATATTCTTGATGGGTTCATGCTCATCAGCAGAATTTCTGTCAATTGTTGCAACATGTTCACAAGTGTTCTTATTTGTCAGGGAAAGAGATGTTGAGAAGACTGGTGAAGGCTGGCATCCAGTGTTCCTATGTGTTAATCAACTCGGCTTCATACGTCATGCAGGAGGTAAATGTTGAGATTGTCTGGAAAACTCTCATAATTTAATTGTAGATATGTCCCATTTAGAGGTTTGTCATATTAATAATCTTGTCTCAGACATGACCCAACTTGATAATCTAGTCCCAAAATATGTCCCCCGTCAACAAAGTCCAGATGACTGAATATCTGTCACCTTCACTTCCAGGCAACCAAGGTATTCCTAGGCTCCCACGCACTGCTTGCTAATGGTTTTGTGATGTCCCGTGTAGGGAGCTCCCTGGTTGCCTTGATGGCTCGCTCGTGTAACGTCCCGGTCTTAGTCTGCTGCGAAACATACAAGTTCTGTGAAAGGGTTCAAACAGACTCATTCGTATTTAATGAGCTGGGTAAGTCTCTCATCCATTCATCCATCCTCATTCGCATTCTACAGAATAATATATGATAATATTTTCTAAACATTGGCCATTGATCCACGGTGGGTACATAAGTCAATAAAAAGTCAGAGTGGCCTCATGAAAAATGTCGATTTTCAATTCCAACTTCAAAATCCAGCTTTCTTGCATACTTTGGCAAATTCACTGACTGCACATTAAATGACATCCCTGTGTTCTGGTGTCTCTGATCCATGAGCACTATACTGATTCCCGGATATTGGTGAAGATCCGGGTTAGAATTGATTTTCAGCAACTCATGCTTGTTGTAAGAGGCAACTAATGAGATCAGATCGGATTGTTTGTGTTTATGTGTAAAAGGGTATAAAATCTTGCATGTTAATTATGTGTCATTAAACATTTCATTATTGATAATTTGGAAATCTGGTACAAAGAATCTTGATAACATTATTCAGTCTACTACAAAGATGGAATTATCGTTTATCATAAAGACTAAAGGGAGACAACTCTACATGTTCCAGGTGACCCCAGTGACCTGGTCCAGGTTGGCAGTAAAGAGCCGTACTTGTCGGACTGGAAGGACCACAGTCACCTGACACTGCTTAACTTAGTGTACGACGTCACACCACCGGAACTCATCTCCGCCGTCATCACCGAGCTTGGAATGATCCCTTGTACATCTGTGCCAGTTGTCCTGAGAGTCACACAGGCACAGACTAATGAAACATAGCAGGCAGACATTGGTTTCGTTGATAGCTTCAGATATACAGCACCCTCAGAGATGGTTCCAGGCAGTTACGTTGATGCCACCATCAACTCATCCTCGATGTCCCGTGTATTTTATTTCATTGTATTATTGTAAATACCTGGATCTGTGCACCACCATAGCTTCTTGTATAGTCCGGTCTTAGTCACAACTCTAACATTAACTGTCCAATCTAATTAGCTACACTCTTCACCACCTTGTAGCCTATTGTCTCAAAGACAATTGGGAACACCTAGCAGAATAAGGGCCACCCCATCTTCCCGAGGCAAGAGAGTTAACTGACTTTAAAAGTCCAGTTTCCACCCTTGCCAAACTAGGCTGGAATTACTGGGCTCAATCGTAGCGCCACCAGTGGCTACTACCAGTTATGTCCCTTCTAAGCCTCTCCTATGGACCAATAAGATTCCACCTCTCGTATCACTTGCGTTTGCTTCACACAATATGGTGGGACCCAAACAGGACGATCTGAATCAAGATCAATATTGTGAAAAAACGGGCCATACATCGCGAAATGCATCAAATTATGTGAGCACCTTGAATAAAAACGTGAAAAGATTTGGAAAATATCTGCTGACAACTAGTTGGCGGTGCACATGCTTTGGAAATCCTGCAATCGACCAAAATCTGCACGACAGTTTACGAACCGGATTTCGATCTCGTTGCACGATTTTGATTGGACTATGCAAAGACTCGTTAGTCCAGCCAAAATGTAACTCCATAATACCAGCCTAGTTCGGCAAGTGTGGAAACTGGACTTTTAAAGTCAGTTAACTCTCTTGCCTCGGGAAGATGGGGCCACCCTTGTCATGGAAACATCTAAGTGTCCAGTATATGTTGTCTTCTGATTCTTATAAATGTTCATGGCTCATATGTACAAGGCCACGATTTTCAATGTGAATCTACACTGAACTCACGTTCAGAAAAAGTGCTTTAATTAGTTGTTTATTTCAAGCTCGTGAGCAACAAGAAATTCTTGTAGTGATAAGAGAGATGGACATTGTTATGTCACCTCCGAAATGAAACTTTTGTGTTGAATAGGTCCAGAGTATATGTCACAATAGAATGAATACATAATACAGTGGATAAACGAGGATGTAATCAACTGACTTTCTAACTTCCTTGCCCTGCCATGTATATACAGAGAAACCCTGATAGTCTGGAACCTGTTTATCCGGAAATGATTAAAGGATGATTACATTGAATTTCAACATGTTTGCAAAGTGACATCACTCCGTTCCAATGATTCATGTTATAATCTGGAATAAATTTCCCTGGAGTGGTACTGTCCAGATTAACAAGGTTTTCCTGTAGGGCCATGACTTTCTGAGTTACCATAGTCACCATCAAGCTCCTCACAGTGATAACCTGTGTTTAGAGCTCTCTATGCTATCTCTGCCAGCAGGCTGCCTACAACAATGCATGGAGTTAAACTAGCAACCGACTGAAAATATTCTCTCCCGATCTAAATTATTTTGGGAGTTTTCAGTTTGTATAAGTAGCATATTGAGAATGCAAGGGGGAAGTTGGGTGCTTTTCCGTTTATGTGCAATCTCAAACCAATCTGATTATACAAACAAATGTAAATTCATCAGGAAAATATTGATTTAGTTGTTTACAAATCTTTTCCCAATTCACTATAATTTGCATTCCCAAAGACATACACAAAAATACACGTCACTACATTTGGGGGTTGAGGGGAAATTTTCAAGATTTTGGCAATAGCTGCTTGCACTCTGGTGTCAACAATGATACCAGGTGAGTGAGTTGGGTTTAACGCCGCTTTTAACATTATTCCTGTTATATCACGGCATGTCACCTTAATGTAGGAGGAAAGCCCGAAGTCTGCAGGTCTCAGACGTTTACCACTTCGGTGAAACCCCCAAGCACGGGAATGGTGCTGACAGACCTAGAAACAAAATTGGGGCAAACTGGGATTCGAACCCACAATCATAGGTTTCTGGCATGCCCAAGGGACGCAACTCTGCACAGCAAATCGCAGCGCCTTAGAAGACTGGGCCACGCATGCCCTCAATATACCAGGAGGTCAACAAAGGTGTTTTGCACACTGCGAAGGAGCTTGTGACAACAAGGTAGTTACGGGTCATGTATGACCAACCATGACAAGTTATAAGTGAATCGAAAGAATTGTTTGATACACAAACATTTAGCTCTCAGTAAGGCCTTTTATTATATATTAGTTGGTATACAAAACACAGGCCGAAAATTTAATGTAGGTGTTCAAAATACAAATACTTGTCAAACTTAGTACTGCAAAACAAACAACTTATTTATCATGGCAAGATATTGATTCGGTCTATTTTGTTAGCATACTGATTTTTATTCATATTAATCACCATTTCTTTCAAACAGAGATGATAAAATTTTGTTTGTTTTTTTCATTTCGCCAATTTGTTAAACAGTCAGTCAAAACATTTTTGTGTCAAAAGTTATTTTATTTCTTTTCTGATTTCAAGGTTTTGTAAACCAACTTTAAAAAATATAAGGCCTAAGGTAAAGACATAATTGTTCACTTTATCCAACTTGACAAATCTGAATCACATCGGATTTTGCTTTTTTTATGCTTGACTAATTTCATATTCTTTGATTATTCTACATCAGATTGTGAACAGATCACATTCACCCGTACATATTAATGTTTTGACATGAGAGTAGAGTTGAGAAATGGGTTCATGTTCGAATCAAATAAGCACTATTACATTTTGTTTATAATTGCAGATTCATGTTTTGGAACCAGATCTTTGTGGGCATGTTTTATATTGTTTACAGCATTATTGTGTGATGGGTATTATATTTAGAGGGGCTTCATAGCCGGGTGTGTATCAAATGCTGTATCATGCCATGCCATGCTTAACCGATGACGAGATGGGTGTGTGAACGTAAACTGAAGACAACTTGGCAATGGAGGTTGAAAGTTAATGTGACTGGATTACAAATGTGTCCCAATCACAATAAAACATTTCTCTACAACAAATATAGATGTTATTATTCTTTCTATTAGTATTATGATGATTATATGGGAGCTCTACGGACATAATGGCTAGGCCTATTGACAGGGGACTGTCCAAGCTTAGGCCTGTTGTCTGAGGTGAGGTGAGGTGAAATTGGGTTTAAATTTGCGTCCAAGATTATTGCACTTATATGGCGACGTGCTTGTGTGGGGGGGTGGGGGCTGCCTGTACTCGTCGAGACTGATGCCGATTTATAGTGCTAGCCTACTGAGATACCATGCCGCAGTTTAACATGAATTCCCCACTCAGACAGTATACTGATTCCGAGCCGACCAATCCTTGTTTTAGCCCCAAATGCCAAGCGCCAGACAGGGTAACAACAGGTACCATCCTTTGACATCTTTTGGTAGGATGCGGCCGGGGATCGAACCCTGAACCTTCGGCTCTCCGGGCGAGGCTCTACCACTAGATCATGGAGGCAGTCCTATGGTCTAAGAGAACACAGTCCTTTGAGGAAAAGTGCCTAACAAAGGGCAGAGAAGACATTTTTTTCAGATTTTAAATAATCCTTTGACAATCTTTAGAACCCAAAGTCAGAAAAAGCTGAAACTTTGGAAATATACTACTAAAAAGAAGTAAAAGAACACCCAATTCTTTTTTGCTGTGCCATGACAGATTAGCAATAGCCATACTAAAGAATCAGGTGTTCATAAACTTCTTTTTGAGAAGTGTATAATGTTTAATAGGATTTGTATTAAGTTTGAGAAATTAATTGCATTTGGTCACATGGCTTTGGCGACCATTGTTGATTGAATTTGATATTCTTCTTCAGAACCACTGGAAAGTGGTAACAAGTTCAAACTTTGTATAGGTAGATATTCCAGGAATATTGCTAAAAGCGACATAAATCAATACTCACTACAAGTGGTATTATTATTGGTGTTATTATTAATATTATTATTGGTAGAAATTAAATCAACAATTTGTTATTGAGCGACAAGGGTCACAACTGGTGCTGTGTTATGTTAGGTGTTGAGTAACATAGTCACATGAACTAGGGAAACTAGTGAATCCAGGTAATTCCAGTATGGATTCCTCCAAATGCAGTCCCGGTTGACGAGAGTCGAGAGCTGCTCAAATTTCAGCCAAAACATTCTTCCTTGGAATCAAGTACACTCAGACAAACTAATGCTGAAGCTGTCTGTGGCACAATATATCTGCAATATTATTGAGAAAATAGCTGCCAAATCAATGTCCAAATCAGAATCTCGCCTGGAGATTGCAGACTCATTGCTAATCCAGTTTAGGATCATTCAATCCAAGAAAAGACATAAAACAGAACACTTTGTGTAATCCTCCACATGTTTAATCCTGACTATGAATCTAGTGTTGGTGTAGTTTGATGTACTGTGTACAATGTACCCTGTACAATCTGGACTAAGATCACCAGCTGTCAAGAGACAGATACAACCATCACAGGCACATACACAGGTTGTCTCCCTTGATTATTTCACATCACAGAATTGTGATTATTTAACGAATCCAATCATCATGATCATCGAGATATTTCTAAATCATAAATACAAGATATATTACATGCTGAAATCACAAACAAATTGTAAGAGCTGTAGGCCTTATAAAGCTGCTTAAAAACACTCCTTATCCCATTCAGTAAAATCCATCTCACAAACTGGCAACTTTCATAAAACAATGAGGAAAATGCCTTGTGAACCAAACATCAGATACATACTGTTGAAATGAGTCAGATCATCGTTAATACAACCAATGCCTACATCTACAGAATATGTGTACTATGTAAGTATGTGAACCTTATTCAAAGTATTCAGCACATGAAAAATTGAATGCTGATAGAAATGTAAAATACTAGTAATTACTCAATATTTGCAAGGACCCGTGAAGATCCGTGGTGGAATAGATCTTCAGCAACCCATGCTTGCCATAAAAGGCGACTATGCTTGTCGTAAAAGGCGACTAACGGGATCAGGTGGTAAGACTCGCTGACTTGGTTGATGCATGTCATCAATCCCAGTTGCGTGGATCGATGCCCAGGATATTAATCACTGGATTGTCTGGTCCAGACACGATTATTTACAAACCGCCATCAAATAGCTGGAATATTGCTGAGTGCGGCGTTAAACAACAAACCAACCAACCAATATTTGCAAGGAACAGGACGAAAGAGGAATCTTTTGGTCCGCAGCAAATGTTGAGTAGAATATAGAGCGCAAGGTTAGAAACAGGCTGTCCATTGCTACAACGTTGGATGGCTATAAGTTGCGTACCAGATGACTAAATGCTCTCTACTGCGCAGGAAGAGGCACGAAGTGATGATGAAACAGTACTTAATGGGCTGTGCAGCTTCATGGCAATATAAATGTTGAATACGGCAAGTCATTATGATACATTCATAATACATGAATATCTTCTGGAATAGATAAGCATGCCTCTCTTAATAGCTCCCATGCATACCCTACATTATCTGTATGCATGCACATCTTATAATCCTCTACATGCATCCGTGTGAAGCATCAACAATGACCATGAACGAGCAATATTCCGTCACTATTATCAGCAGTATCCTCACAATACATACAGAGAACCGGATTAGTCCGAGTTCTGTTTAGACAGATTCCACTGTACTACATTAATACAGGACTGGTATAATGTGTTTAATGTAATGCCTTAAGATTCAACTTCAGTGTTCTTAAATTGCACTTTAGGCATACTTAATCATACACTGTAAACATGGTAAAGGTCATCGGGTGCAGAATTATAAATGCATACCTGTTGGTGGGAACAAATGAATAACAGTAACCAACGTGTGTTTTCTAGTATCTGATGTACAATGATAATCATCCTGCTTAGCACTATCATCTGGTTTAAACATGCCAAAAAGCATGAAATTTGATGGGATGCTCATTAATACAAACCCAGTTTCATCAATTTATAACATTGTAAATGTTTACCGGTAATTACAAGAGACTAGATATTCTTGGTTTGTTAACACAATTAATGCACATTCAATGCTTCTGTCTCAGTTCCTAGGAATTCTTTGGTAAATCCTTTAATTTTAAGGAAATCATACCCTGATGGGAACCATTAAGCCATAACAACATATATATCAGATCAATTTATTTTCAGGTTTACAGATAAGCCCAACCAAAAAATCTGTTGAGTTGAAAATGAGCTTTTATGACACAGGTTTTGTTTTTCCAACTTTTAATTCAAGAGTTGATATGAGGAAATTAACCTCAAATATACCTCGAATTTTCAAAAATATTTGTGCCCTGTGTAACAAAAAATGAGATATTCTGGCCTTGGATAAACATAGTCAACAACTTTAAACTCATTTTTATATGCAAATAGGCTATCAACCTAGGCTATCAACCATTTCAACTGAATTTCACTTAATACATATACATCTGGGACTTCCAACTGAACAAATGAAGATCTTTGCTGACATATATAATCAGTTTGTACCACTATGACCTAGATATGACACTCCACATAGGTACCTAAGTATGTGAAGATAAGGTGAAAGTTCAAAGGTTGCAAAGGCTATACACATACAATGATGTATATACTTGTAGATTAATTTGGAAGCATGGATACCTACTAATGCAAAGATAAGGTGAAAGTTTAAAGGTTACAAAGACAAGATAACTATAAAGTCCGAGATAAGTTCAGTTATTTTGACCCCAAATCCATGATTATCTAAGGAACTACTACACCCAGATCGCAAACCACACATACAGAATCCCATGCGTACAAATAAACACAGGTGCTCTCTATGTACACACTTCATTAAACCGTAATTAACATGATTAAAAGATGGTTAGGAAAATATCATCAACAAAAATAGATCTTACTGTAGCAGAAGAAAAAATTAAACAGTTTCTAAGAGTTGTACAAAGACTATAAAAACAAGACTTTGTCTTTGGACCTTGCTGCTGAGAATGTTGCTGTTATCAAAGCAAAGACTATATGAGCCGGCTGAGCAGCATTGACGGCGGTGTGGATGCCCCTGCGTTGGTAGAAGTCCACCAGTGGCTTCGTCTGCTGATGATACGCCTGCAGTCTCTTGCGTAGTGCCTCTTCATTGTCGTCAGATCTACGCATCAGAGGTTCTCCGGTTGCCTGGAACAAAAGTCAGGGTTTCGTATTGTAGGCTGCATAAATATTTGTAGTGTCTCCATCCTTGGCTATCCAGGGATGATGCCTCCATTCTATATACCTCCCCATTTGCAGCCACTGCTTCAGTTGGAGGATGATTATTGCACAGGAGAATTCTGTGAAGTCGCAGATGAGGTGAGGTGAAATGGGGTTTAACGTCACGTCCAAGATAATTGCACTTATATAGCGACATGCATGTACGTGTGTGTGTTTGTGTGGCTGCTTGTACTAGTCCGGACTGATGCCGATTTATAGTGCTAGCTCACTGAGATACCATGCCTCAGTTTAACATGAATACCCCACTCAGACACAGTATACAGACTCCGAGCCGACCAGTCCTTGTTTTAGCCCCTTAATGCCGAGTGCCAGACAGGGTAACAACAAATACCATCTTTTAACCTTTTGGTATGACGCAGTCGGGGATCGAACCCTGGACCTTCCGCTCTCCGGGCAGACGCTCTACCACTAGACCACAGAGGCGGTCCACTTTCCAAATGAAGCTGAGGGAGCAAACAGGTCTGTGGTATTTATAATAGAATGGTAGTCATCAGATATTATACCCTGGACCACCGAGGATGGTGACCCTAATGCTACTGCATCAGTTGAGGGAACAGTTATATATTGTGTGGCCACTACTCCACACCTTAGGCATTGTTGCGGTAGATGAACTACAAAAGAACAGCAGCTTGCATCAAAGACTATTGAGTCTACCAGTCCAAAATTGGCTCTTGGCATCATTTTTAGTAGATTTCAGTGTTAGACTTAGAAGATGAACTACTATTAGTTGGGATTACTAGACCGAACACAGACTGTTACTAGACTTGGGCATCGGACTAGTTGCAGACTGGAATGGACTTTCACCATGCACTGGTCACGTTAACTCAAGATCATGTGTGTAACATACAAACCTACACTACATTTAACAACATAATACCATACAATACAATACCACTGCCTGTGTTCACATTTCATGAGCAACCCACCCACCCCCCACACCCCACCCCAGGCACTTAAACTCATAATATCAGGCTTAACATATATGTTGTAAATTAAACAGATAATTAGTAAGCTTTTAGCTCACCTGACTGAAAATCAAGTAAGCTGATGTCATGGCCTGTTTGTCCATTGTTGGTTACCTTCTGCTCATCACCAGACATGTTCTTTCAATAAGTAATGAACTTTGGCATATGTGTAGGTAGTCGTGGGGCTTATCACATCTGTCCAGTTTTTCGTGATATCATAAAGTTTGACCCTCATTTTATCCTTGCATTTCGACCATGCTCCTAAATTCTCTCAAAATGCATTTCCTCACACTGCCACCACTTGACCAATGCAGCTGAAACTTTTAACAAAATGGTACAGATTCCAAATACCAAAGAGTCTCACTTATCATCATAACTGTGCTAATCTTAAGGGTAAAAAAAATAATAGTTTTGGTTCTCAGGCACTGCCCGTATCATAATGTCCGCCACATGTTTTGTTTTTATTTCCATTTTTAAAAAAACCCATAACTAATACTTAAAAACAGTGTGATCCAAAATAGCACGCAGTTACTTCCCTTTACATAAGCACTGCTTAACTGTGCATCTCGTGCTATGGTCATGGCGGCAATAGGAGTTTGTATGCTTGTTGATGAAGGGAGGCCCTTTCCCAGGTTGATGGTACACAACTGTTTAATTGGCTACATTCTAGTTTAAACAAGCAAAAGAAAAAAAACACTGCTCACCTTCACTATATTTCAAAAGTCATTGCCTGAGAACAAATTCTTTTATTTTTTTAAGCCTAATCCTCTCGATGTCACAAAATAAGAATGAGCCAACTCACATCATCCGTCATGGGGACCTTAGGTGGGTGAAACTCCACGTGGTAGCTCCGCCCACTGTTCTTGTGAATGAGACGTCCAGTAATTCTTCGAACGAGCAGCGAATCATCAATGCAGAATTCGATGACGGAATCCAACTGTGATTGGCGTTTCAGCAACAGGTTGTCCAACTGCATTTATAACTTCATATTCTCAACTACCCAATATTTGCTAAGATTAATAAGAAAGCATATATATCCTTTTCATGATGTTTATGAATGGCTGTTATTATGTTTATGTCGTCAAAAGGAATGCGTGTGCACTTGAGGCACCATAAATATATTTTAATCACGCCATTAGGATTTTTACTTGGTCACTGGTACTATAACACAAGGAATTTCAAACACTGGAATGAATATAGTCGTCCTGCATACTTATGATACAAGCATCAGGTTTAAAGTTCCCAGGTAAATATCAAGTCAACATATGGTTCACATCAGTATGATTAGTTTGTTCCAGAAACATTTGAGTTTACCATGTCTACTAGTACTAGCCCAAAATTTATTACTTCTTCAACTTCAGTAAATTTCTCTCACTGAGTCTGACCAAGCTACCCGTTATATGATGACATGCATCAACGAAGTCACCGAGTCTGACCAAGCTACCCGTTATATGATGACATGCATCAACGAAGTCACCGAGTCTGACCAAGCTACCCGTTATATGATGACATGCATCAACAAAGTCACCGAGTCTGACCAACGTACACGTTATATGATGACATACATCAACAAAGTCACCGAGCCTGACCAACGTACACGTTATATGATGACATGCATCAATGAAGTCACCGAGTCTGACCAACCTCCCCGTTAGTCACTTCATTTTGACAAGCATAGTCACCTCTTAAGACAAGTTGCTGAAAACCACGTCTAACCCCGATCTTTACAGGTTGGGATGTCATGAAGCTAAGCTAACTTGATGAGTAGATCAACAGAAATATTAATAGATCCATGGTTCAGGTTGTGGCCATGCAGTCTGATGCAATGCTACAACCAAAGACAAAACACTCCTTAACAGTGTACCGATCAAGCCCTATTCCCTGCTAAGCACTACAGTTTCTAGTATTCAACTGCAACTCACAGCTTTGGCCTGTCCGACGGTCCTGGGAAACCCATCAAGAAGGAATCCGTTCTGACATTCTGGCTTATTCAGGTTCTGGTCAATCAGCTCCACCACCAGGTCATCGCTCACCAGCTGACCGGCATCGATCACACCCTTCACACGCCTCCCCAGCTCGCTGCCAGAGCTTATGACAGCCCTCAGCATGTCGCCCGTAGATAGATGGCAGGCACAGTACTTCTCAGCAAGCATCGGGGCCTGCGAACATGGTGAAATAAAAGAATCTTGTCACTTTTAATACTATGACTGGTGATGTTCTTGATGATTATAAGTATAATTGTTGATGATTACTAGGGCAACCTTGTCTGTAATTAATTCTGGAAAAAATTATTGTTTCATATAACATGATATTATGGGTAAGGTGTTTGGGGGGGGGGGTGCACTTTACTGGTATTCTTTTGCAATTAGTGCCCTACGTTGGCTGATTTTGACATGATGGATTAAACCTGCTTTGCTGCAATGCTTGCTAGGTAAACACAAACCATCACATGACCACAGTCGCTATCACACATATTTCGTCATCTGATTTTGTACTCGTTTTCATTGTAATTAGCACCTTGTTGCCACCTTAGCTAAACAATATCTGTGTAGGCGCTGAAGTGATTCCAGTGTTGTCATTTCAAATTTCTTGAAATTTTGTTAAACATGTAGCAAGATGTGCTTATCATCTTTCCTATATGCAGCAAGACTTCCTCCAAGTGACAGTTGTGGATTTAAGAAATATGTGTGAAAAACCTTCAATTAATACTTGGATTATTCAGATACCATTCACACAAGGGTAAAAGAAAATATCCCCATCCAAAACAAAGCTATCACGAAACCCTAAGGATCAAAATGAGTCCATGCATAGTGAAGATGGCTTTTACTCTAAGAATCAAAAAGTCAGCTTTGATAGTATAGATAGCCCAAAGGCTAAATATCGTAAAGAAGGGTAACCATGCTGGTTTATCCTCACTTTGCATCCACCCTGCAAGGGATTAACAGTTACTGTTTTCATAAAAGGACAGTGAGAGTGAGTATGGCCCTAAGCTGCTTTCAGCAATATTCCAGCAACATCACAGCGGAGGAAAATGAAAAAGGGCTTCATACATTATACCCATGTTGGGAATCGAACCCAGGCCTTTGGCATGCAGCTAAGGCTTTTACCACTAGGCCACCCAACTGCCCTATACAAGAACAGGGGTCATGCCAAAGCACTCACAGTGAACTCAAATCAGGACTTATAAGTTTCATTGATTATCATGATTAAGTGAATTGTGTTCTCGATATCCAAATCAATGAAACCTAACGTGAGTAAACTCAGTTCCCTGAAATTTATGTATGTAAGTACCTAATTCAGACACTTGCAGTGACCAGTTCACAAGTAATCATGAGATGGTACATAAATACTGGAAATGCCAAAAACTTCACTGTGAAATGGTAAACATGGTAAACGCACTTGTGAATGTCGACTTTCATTCAGTCATGGAGGCCGCAGCCTTGTCTTCATTGGACTTTAGTTATATGTTTATCCTTGCTTGAGATTATTTTATTTAACGATGTGAACATTATTAAATGACATTGTCCATTTATATATGATAGTAGTCATATATGATAGTTCTGTGGAAGCGTAACATTATTAAATGACACTCTCCAATATATATTACAGCAGTGAAAAGCTAATAAAGATTTGAGACACCCCTGTCTATTGTTGTTCTCTCAGTCAGCATCATGCATGACTGCTTTCCCTACTCTAAACAATAATTGGTGGCAAAATGATGTGTACCATGCTGACAGTGAAGGAACGCTTGGTCTGTGAAGCATGAACCAGACAATTAACAAGTCACCTGACGCAGTGACAGGTTTAGACTGTGCCCCTTTAAACTGCACTATACAAATACAGACGATCAAACTCAACATGCGCAAAAGTATGGAGGATCAGTTGATCAATACTGCCGATTTGGGAAGTCCCTTTCCCACTTATCTTCTAAGTGTAAATTTTAAATGCCTGTTAGTTCAAACATGTATTCTATATTCTCCTGGGCTGTAGGCATTCAAACTTTTATTCCCGAGAAATCTACATCTGTATAGGTACCATTTCAGTTTCCAAACGAACAACAGTATGTCTAATTGGTTAAATGTGTCTATATAAACATCTGATTATATGATTATGAACTACATATACCATACATTCGTAATTGTAACATTGAAAGATTGATGCAATCCCATGCTGACATTTACAATGTTTTCAATATATAGGCTAACCTGTGTGCCTTTTCCGGAACCTGGAGGTCCGAGCAGAATGGCATTTATGCCCTGTGGCTTTCTTTGAGCAGGAGCGGGTGACGGGACCGCTGGCATCTTTACAGATAAGTGAAGAAGTGAAGATGAGGAACCGGCTATCGTGGCAACAAGCACCTGTTCGTTCAAGGTCGTGAACCGGAAACACTACAGACTCTATGAGACATGCGTAAAAAGGATTGTAACTTCCTCTTTACGACATTCACTATAAACAAACAACACTATATATTACATTTTATCAGATTTGATAACACTTTAGTCATGTCTAGATATATGAGTTCTATTGCCATCTCTATTTACCGATGAATGTATGTTTATTTACAATCTAAGGTCACGTGATCGACAATTACAAAATGGCAGAAGGGGAGTGATCGCTTCCTCTCCCAGAACGCACACAAATTTGTTTGTTGGTGTTGTGCTTTCACTTTAACTAGGGACATACTTTGAACCGAAAAGATGCATTTTTCAATACCGGACACGCAAGAATGCAAGGATGACAGTGGATCTTCCTATACAGTTAGTTTTGTATTATTGCTTACTCGCATATTGCCTTGGGCACAAGTTTTTACGAGTTGACAGCACACTACTAATGACATTTGACAGGAAAGGTTTTCAAGTGTTTGCGCACCCGCTTTTTCTATGAATGCTGCCGAATGACACGCCGAAGCTAAACTCATTTGATTCCAGCTGCATTCGTCACATTTGTGTTACTTCGTTAGCTGTGATATAAGATTAGATCATTGCAGCCAATAGAAATAAAATCATTGCAGAAACGGCGATTTGTTTGCAACCTACATCATATTATTTGTATATCTACTGTGAATTATAATTTAACATATTTTGTGTTATCATAGGAGTTAATACAATGGGGCTTTTAAACTTTTTCAAAAACATTTTGCATACTGTAATTATTGTTATGCTGGAATGCTGATTTCATCTGCCTTAGATCAACGCCTGTCAGTGGTATGGGATCAGTTTAAATCGGCACCAAAATTGCGTTGGAAAACTTGTCACCATATGTATTTTTGGTACAGATACAGAAAGCAATACACTTGGGTTTGTTCAGACATTATACGTAAAATAAATTCAACAGAGACAAAATTCTAGCTGGTGCCGTATTAAATAACCAGATGCCAATTAGCGTCAGCTACCCAACAAACTGATCAAACAACACTTGCCCTATAGCTGTTGGTATCCAGATCATTTATTGTCTGTCCTGGTGACTAAGTGGAGTGAGTGAGTGAGTTGGGTTTAACGCTGCTTTTAACAATATTCCAGTTTTATAACGGTAGGTCAGCTTAATGTGGGAGGAATGCCCGAAGTGATGCAGGTCCCAGAGGTTTACCACTTTGGTGAAACAAATGAGTTTGGGTATGGCACTGACAAACCAAGAAACATAGGTTTCTTGCTTGCCCAAGGGACGCAACTCTGCACAGCCAATTTCAGCGCCTTAGACAACTGAGCCAGCCGTGGTCCCGACCTGTTGCAATATATGCCAATATGTGCTGTACATTTACAGAGAATTTCTGCACCGCCGACTGGTTACAAATCATAAAAACCAAAAAAGAACAAAAAAAACTTAATGACTTATATATACCAGTCTCTTACTTAATCACTGTGATTAATGTATCACTTAATCACTTACCTCCAAGTATGTATGATTAATTTATGTCATCAAATGTGACTAAGAATTCATGATTGAAAACAAAGCTGGTGGCAGTTTAATATGGGAAACAATCTTGTTTCATACTGTATATTATCATAAATATGGGCAAAATATATACAACTGGCATTTCCAGTAACCATGCAATGCAACTGACCTTCCATTTCACTTGCAACTAAAATGTTTAATCAGACCTGGGCCCACTTGCACAAAGCGATCTTAGCGCTAAGATGATCGTAACTCCCATACTTTAACATAGGCTTACAATAGTCTTAGCGCTAAGATCGTTTTGTGCAAGTGGGCCCTGGTCAGACATGGTCAAGAATAATCATCAAAATGTTTTAAGATAAATGTTTAGATTTTCTTCTTATTCTGCTTACCTGCTAGCAAACATGTTTCTGTTACCTGAAACACAGGTACTTTTAATTCCTTTAGTGGCATATGGGTATGAAGGCTGCGACCAGCAAGGCAATTTTAACACTTTTTTTATTGAAATGCTCTTTCGTCCACAGTCCTACAACATGTATATCAATGGTGTGTTCCACTGTTCTGTAAGATTCCGACAACTACATCAGTTTCATGAACAGGTATGTACTTTTTATTTAAACTGGAAAATCATACCAAATACATTTTATGACAGTGGCATGACATCTGGACTGGGCTCACCACTTGTGTTTTGGCCTGCTGATCTACTCAATGTGGAAGAAAAACTTCCCAGTATTTCCTGCATGCTGTCAGAGCTGACTGAAGAGTATGGATGGTCGAGTGTGGTGACTTGGCTGACTGCAAATCGTTGTGCCTTGATGAGCACTTATATGTGGCCCAGATTTTATTATTTACAGGCTGCCCATCTTCCCGAGGCAAGGGATTTAACTGACTGTTAAAGTCCCATTTCCACCCTTGCCAAACGAGCCTGGAATATCTGGGCTTGAGTGGCTATTACAAATTATGTCCCTTCTATGTCCCTCCTATTGACAAGATTCCGGGGTAGAATAGGTCTTCAGCAACCCATACTTGTCGTAAAAGGCGACTAACGGGATCGGGTGGTCAGGCTCACTGACTTGATTGATACATGTCATCTATCACAATTGCGTGGATCGATGTTCATGCTGTCATTCACTGGATATTGTCTGGTTCAGACTCGATTATTTACAGACCGCCATCATATAGCTGGAATATTGCTGAGTGCGGCGTTAAACAACAAACAAACAAAAACCTATTGACAAATCAGATTCCATCTCTCATATCACTTGCATTTGCTTCAAATAAAATGGCACCGCCCAGTGAAGACGATTTGATCGATAATCGATCTGTATTGTAATAAACCTGGTCTTACTTCACAATGTGCACCAAATCACCTTAGGCACCTTGATTACAAAACATGAATAGATTTGGAAAATATCTGTTGATGCTATGTTGTCTGTACACATGCTTTGCAAATCCTGCACAGCAGTTTAGTGAGTTTTCAAACTGGATGTCAATTTCATTACACAATTTTGATTCAACTATGCATGGACTCGTTAGTCCAGCAAAAAAATAGCTCCATAATTCCAACCTAGTTCGGCAAGGGTTGGACTTATATAGTAAGTTAACTCCCTTGCCTCAGGAAGATGCAGGCTGCTGTGATGAAGCTGGAATATTGCTGATTTAACAGAAATTAACTTGGGCTGATCTACTCCTGAGTAAACAGGTAAAAGTGTAATACAATTATCTATTTGGGGAATTAGATATTTTTATTTTTCTGTTTTGTTTTAAATCAGCTGTTTTCTTTTCTAGTTGAAGAAAGAATTTGGTGCTTCGTCTCTTCCCCCATTCCCTCCAAAGAAGTTCCTCCCTCTGAGTCCCCCCCAAGTGGAGGAGAGGAGGAACATGCTGGAGCACTACGTTCAACTGGGTGAGTAGTTCAGGATTGTTTCATCATCATGTCTGTGGGCATGGTACATGAGTAGACTATCTGTACAACATTAGTAACCATGGTAACTCACTGGTGTTCCAAGGGAGCACTGATCCTAGTATCATATGATCAATAGATCCCAGCATTCCCACAGTGCCGATTATCATGTTTATGATCAGTCATATATAATTTAGTCATATGCCAGTTATGTCAAAAAGACAATTTATGAACATGTGCAACATGGTTCAATTTCAAAATAGTTTTTATATGTTATGATAACCTAGACACTGGACTAATCCAGATTCCATAGGGCATAAAAGGCAAAATAGTGATGAAAAGTGTATCAATTGAACACTGAAAATGAGTGATGACACCAGGTGTTTGCAAATAGAATAGCATCTGCCATTCACTATAACAACAACAACAATAATAATAATAATGATGATGATGATAATAATAATAATAGTCTGTTTATATGGCGCTGTACTCCATGCACAAGCATGCTCTATGCGCTTCAGTGTGCACTCAACAATCATTCTCAGCTCCCTGGGGAGTATTCCAACCCAAGCTGCCTGTAAGGCGCTAGAAGGTTATCTCCTAATCCTACCGGGTACCCCTTCACTGCTGGATGAACAGAGGCCCATTTTGAAGGAAGTCACTTGCCCAAGGAGACACCACATGTGTTACATGTGCTCAGTGTGGGGCAGGACTGAAGCCCCAGAAACTCAGAGGCGTCAAGCTGCAGAAAACGGTCACCCATCCAACTTCTCTCCAAGACCAAAGTTGCTAACCTTCACATTGTGACTTGTGACCTGTGACCTGTGCACAGGACCACGTGCCCCCCAATCCATGTTAAGGTCACAGCATGGGATCACATTGCACATCATGTTGACTAGTCTGGCGCTCGGCATTAAAGGGCTAAAACAAGGACTGGTCAGCTTGGAGTCAGTATACTCTGTCTGAGTGGGGTATTCATGTTAAACTGCGGCATGGTATCTCTGTGGACTAGCACTATAACTCGGCATCAGTCCGGACTAGTACAAGCAGCCACACACACATGTGCATGCACGTCGCTATAAAGTGCAATAATCTTGGACGCGACGTTAAAACCAATTTCACCTCACCTCACCTCACCTCACCTCATGTTGACTAGCAGTGTGTCATATTGAACATGTGCAGTATATTCCTCTGAATGGCCATCATTAAGTTACTGGAATGACTTTACCAGGCTTTTGATGGAGAAAGACAGAAACACTCTTGTTACTGAAGTCAGCACTACTCACTCTCTTAGACTTGCCTTTAGTCTCTGAAAATATAAAATTTTGATACAAACAAACAACTATATTTAACTTGAAAAGGAGCCCAAGTGAGATGGGAGGTTCAGAGGAGTCTTCCTCCATATCTGACTTTAAGATGGATATAGCTAGACTTGCCTGTTGAAGATGACAGACTGTGTACAAGGCCCCATGCATATTTCACACACATGGTTCAGGGCTAGATCTTGCCAAACACAGAAGCAAATAATAGGAAAGATTCCAGAACACTGGTGAAAATTTTGGTCCAGACGACCATGGCAATATGTTTGCTATGTGACCCGACCCCTGAAGTGAGTCAGTTTTCTTGCAGATGATAACGGACACTGAACTTGCAGAAAATCTAGACTTGCTTCATTTGGAGCTATAGCATTACCTTAAGGGCTGGGTAAGGTAAAATGATGATGAGTTTTTTTAATTAACTCAAGTCCACCTGTCCAAAACTTGTAATAATCAGAAAAGAATATTTTACAAATAGATGGCAACTCAGTAGCTTATCATTTATGCATACCAGTGAAAATCAAAATTAATTCTGACCTGTTAGAATATGTCCATGCTTTATGAACATGAAATGAAAGATTTGATGACCTTCTGTTGCAGTGAGCCAAGATACAGAGATAGCAAACAGTGAACGCTTCAATGGATTTCTTCTCAGTGCACAACAGGTATGTGCCAAATACAGCTAGAGTTGACACCACCATGAAAAGATGTATCAACAGTTGATAAAAGCTCCACTGAAGGTGTTTGATGGGTTTAGTTCTCAGAAGTTTCACTGCCCTTGTGCATGTTGTGATACTGGTATGTTGTGAATCATGACTCCCTTATGTTGTATCTGGGTTGTCATGTTGCAGGAGACTCAGAAAGAGGAGGCAGAGCGGGTCACGCTGGATGTGTTTCTGATGAATGGTCATAAGATTGTGGTCAACATCCTCTCAACTGACCAGACCGAGGATGTGCTGGAGGTAGGATAGTTGTTTGTTTGTTTGTTTGTTGTTTAACGCCACACTCAGCAATATTCCAGCTATATGACGGCGGTCTGTAAATAATCAAGTTGGGACCAGACAATTAAGTGATTGACATTTATGAGTATCCATCCACAGAATTGGAATACGATAACATGCATCAACCAAGTCAGCCAGCCTGTTAGTAGCCTCATACGACAAGCATAGTCGCCTTTTATGGCAAGCAGGAGTTGCTGAAGACCTATTCTAACCTAGGACAGTGCTAATAAATAATGTGTGCACTTATATTGCGCTAGCCTCCATACCCTCAGTGCATGCTCAAAGCGCTAATGTTATTACCCCAGTCAATCAGTGTGCACTCGATTTTCATTCTCAGCTCCCTGAGGAGTACAAACCCAAGCTGCTTTGTCAGGTGCTAGAAAGTTAACAGTCACATTGTCATCTCGTCCTACTGAGTACCGATTTTTATTGGTGGGTGAACAGAGGCATATTTCGAACATAGTCACCTGCCTAAGGACACCACATGTGCTTCCGACATTACTTAATCGGATACATTACTTAATCTGATAAGTCGCTTCAAACATAGGTCTGTGGCTCTCCGCCTTTCGTCTGTGTCATAGTTTTTAAATGTCACTGGAAAGTTTGATCTGTCATGTCCATGAGTTGTTTTGTAAAACTTGTACATCTCTGTGAAATTCATAGACCTAATTGATCCATTATCTGTGAGTGGATAATTCCAGCAAACAGTGGTAAAGGTTCCATGACGAAATGAACATTTGATTAGGAGATAAACCCATTAAACTTTTGTGATTTAAATTTTGAGTGTCAAACTTAATTTGATACCTGTTAATTTTATATGAATCATTTGAATGTTCGATAAGTAAACTTTGCATTTACCCCAGATTAAGTTTACTATATCCGTTGTTCAGTTAATCAGATGTTTGAAATAAACTCAAATTTATGTGAGCTGCACAACCTCCAATTTCTATTTCTCAGTTGATTCTGAAAGTTAAATTTATCTTTTTCAGAAAGTTGCATCACAAATTGAAATACCAGATCAATATGTGTACTATTTTGGTATATTTCTGGTGAGGAAAGAAGAAGGGGGAGACAATTCAAGTAAGTTTCCACAAACATGTCATGCAGAATGTAACACAGAACATTTGGTTGGTCCGTGCTGAAGCTTAATCATTATTAGCCAGGTTAAGACTGAATTCTCGGTTGCTCAAGTTAAAAAAACCATGACTGAAAAGTTTGTAATACAGAGTTATGTCCTGGAGGATGTGCTGGAGGTAGGACAAATTCAATAAATAACGTGTGTACTTATTTTGCGCTAGCCTCAGTACACTCAGTGCATGCTCAAAGCACTAACATTATTACCCTGGTCAATGGATCAGTGTGCAGAGTTGCGTCCCTTGGGCACGCCAGAAACCAGAAACCTATGATTGCGGGTTTGAATGCCGGTTCATCCCAATGATGTTTCTAGGTTTGTCAGCACCATACCCCTGTTTGTGGGTTTCACCGAAGTGGTAAATGTCTGAGACACGTCGCGATATAACTGGAATACCGTTAAAAGCGGCGTTAAACCTAACTCACTCACTCACTATAAACCAAGCTAAATTGAAGTATTCTTTCTTCAGATTACAATTATCATGATTATAGGGAAATATTATTCATAAATTTAGTCTGTTAATGGAAGATCAGTGATTAAAAAATTAATGCTTGTGATGTACATCATGTACATAATATGTCACAAAAAATGAGCTCAGACACTGAATTGTATCATTGTGTTATCTGTTTATCAGTGTTTGGTTTTTGGAATTAATAATCTTTATTCTACCTTATCCTGACTCATACTATTGCTTATCTCATCTCATTCTGAAGAGGTAGCAGAAACTTCTGTGCTGTGTTCCCAAGGACGGAGAAAAACATTATACCCAAACGCACCCCGCACTCCGCTGTGCAGCCGCACCGGAAGCATGTGACCAAGCCTGTATACTCGTCACTCTCTTATTTTCATGCCAACTGGGCGGTTGGACTAATTTCTGTGCTCTCATAATGCAAGCCATCCTATCAAGATTAATATTTTTTATTAAAATATTTTGTTTAGATTACCTTCTTCAAAACTTTCTTCATCATACTATAACTTTATTTTTCTACTTTGGCTTAAACTTTTTTTACACGTCAAAGGATGCCTGCACAAATGTCCCCGCCGCCTTCACACAGCCAACATCTTTACCCCTAGTGGGTTCTATGCAGACTAGTAGAAGTCAGGGTACCAATTCATAACCACTTACTGAAAGTACATGCGCCACAGTTTTACTATTAAAACGTGAACGTTATTCAGAACGTGAGTGATAACGATCGATAACGATCTGAATCACACATAAGGTGGACCTCACAACCAACCGTGGGATTCAAGGAATTAGTATGAGTCAGGATAAGGTAAAATATGTATTTTTTAGGTAAAAATAGCATTTATGCTTATCCTGACTCATACACTATAGCACCCACCCAGCCATCCCTGCTTCTAGTATATATGTTTCAGCTGTAAGGGAAAGCCAAATGAGAGAGTAACAAGTATATAGGCTTCCGGTGCAGCTGCAGGGTGAGAGGTGTGTTCGGGTGAGATGTTTTTTCTGTGTTTGGGAACAGCACAGAGTTTCCACTACCATTTCAGAATGAATTAAGATAAGCAATAGTATGAGTCAGGATAAATATTAATGATATTTTCACTCTAAAAATACGTGTTTCATTAATCTTATTCACCTTTATAGTTGTGTTGTGTTGTGTTGTGTTGTGTTGTGTTGTGTTGTGTTGTGTTGTGTTGTGTTGTGTTGTGTTGTGTTGTGTTGTGTTGTGGTGCTTAGTATTATCACTTTGTATATTTCAGTTGTAAGAAAGTTCCAAGATTTTGAATCACCCTACATTTCCTTAAAGGCAGCTAATAAGGAAGGAGTCCATCGAATTGTCCTTAGAAAAAGGTGAATTTCCAATTTGTGGAGCAGTATAGAAGAATCATAATGTCACTCTTTTTAAATCAACGCTTGTTTTTCTTACGTGTGGTCAATTGCCCTGTAGGGAGAATTATCTTTGTCATGTAGTGTAGAATGCCAAATTGACTTCAACACGTGTTCAGTCAGTTTGTAAATTCAAATAAATTTTGTTTCCCACTCTTAGGCCACACCAATTCAGACAAAAGAAAAATTTGAACTTACAAAATTCTTTAATAAATCATGATAATAACCTTGTACACAAGCAAAATTATATTTATTTATTTTCATTGTTTAGAAAGTGTATTAAAAAAACCAACAGCATTGTACTTGTTGTAGTTCAAGATTTCTTTTTACAAAGTATCAGGTTGGCTTGTCCTAAAACAAGAAAATAATTTGATCTTGCCGTCATGGAATTTCAGAACAGTAAGATATCTGTAGATACAAGCCTGCTATATATATGGCCTATGCAGACAAACTCCCTTGAAACTCTCACTCCAAGTCGTGGTAGGTTGTTGATGAGATCCAGGTGTTGTAACGCGGGACGAGCACCGATGTCACCTGCTTGTTGGTGTGTTGCAGTTTCTGGGACTCCTCCTTTGATGACGACCTCATGGATAACAAGATCACCATGAACCTTTTGTACGTCCAAGTGAGTAGCAACTTGTCTCTTCTTTTTGTAGGTCTCTCAGGCAGCATTTATTACCAAACTTTTATAGGTGAGGTGAAATGGGGTTTAACGTCGCATCCAAGATTATTGCACTTATATAGCGACGTGCATGCACGTGTATGTGTGTGTGTATGGCTGCTTGTACTAGTCCGGACTGATGCCGATTTATAGTGCTAGCCCACTGAGATACCATGCCGCAGTTTAACATGAATACCCCACTCAGACACAGTATAGTGACTCCGAGCCGACCAGTCCTTGTTTTAGCCCCTTAATGCCAAGCGTCAGACAGGGTAACAACAAGTACCATCTTTTAACGTCTTTTGGTATGACGCGGCTGGGGATCGAACCCTGGACCTTCCGCTCTCAGGGCGGACGCTCTACCATTAGACCACGGAGGCGGTCCCCAAACTTTTATAAACAAGTTATTATGATTTGGACAGTTTGTTCATGTTAATGTTGGTATGTCATCATTTCTCACAGTTTTCATCTCTTGTTTGCCTGTTCCATTATTTAATAAGCCAGGGTCAGGGACCCGTTACACTGAGCGATCTTAGCTCTACGACTACCGTGAACCTATGTTAAAGTATGGGAGTTACGATCATCTTAGCGTTAAGATCGCTTTGTGGAACGAGGCCCAGATCACTAGACTGTGATGACTGCAGCGTTATACAAAATTCACAAACACAAACATATCAGGTAGATTTGTGAGTTACAAGAATTGCTGTCTCTGCCGCCATTTCTACTGATTGCTTGTGTTGCAGACTGTGAGTGACATTGAACGCCAGTGGATACTTGCCACCAAAGACCAGCTGAAGCATCTTGCCACGCTCAACCAGAAAGGGTCCAAGAAGGAGGTAGCTTGTTTTAAATGTTCATTGACTTCCATCAATGTCTACTATGTATTACTGCACAATAAGTAGTGGTGTAATGATACGGTGATACAGTATTGTATCCTGATACGAGGCCAATGATACAATGCATCATTACACAATACATGTGATTAGGGCTGGCTAAAAAGATCGACAGCTGGAATTATCATCATCGATGGGAAGAAATATTAATGATTATCAACATGAAAATTGTGTTATCAATAATATCTTACATAAACAAATGTTCATGAAAAAAAAGGTTTAAATTTACCAAAACAGGCTTGTTATTATCAATCATGTCAATTGCCAAAGACAGAAAGCAGCTGTTCTTGTTGTAACTTAAATGTCCATAGGGAAATCCATGCATAAATGTGTCACAACTCACCAGTGACATGAAGTGTGTTGATTTCTTTCGGATTTTTTTGCGTATTTGCTCAAAGTTACTTCTCCGATATTTATTGATAATTGATTGATATTTCATTAATGATTATCAATCTCTATCAATAGCCAGCCCTACATATGATACATTAAAGTTATATTGGTTCAAAACATGTGTCTAATACCTTAAGTTGTTCAAACACCAGCTTACACCGATTCTCTAGTATTTCCCTGTTGGTAGTGTTCATCTTGCCCTCGGGGGAACGTGTGGCCCAGTCGTCTAAGGTGCCACAATTCGCTGTTCATAGTTGCGTCCCTGGGGCCTGCCAGAAACCTATGATTGTGGGTTCGAATCCTGGTTCGCCCCGATTATGTTTCTAGGTTTGTCAGCACCATACCCGTGCTCATGGGTTTCACCGAAGTTGTAAACGTCTGAGACCTGCATCACTTGGGGCTTTCCTCCCACATTTAGCTGACACGCCGCGATATAACTGGAATACTGTTAAAAGCGGCGTTAAACCAAACTCACTCACTCACTCATCATGCCCTCAAGCCTATATGCTTCTTCCCTACAATACCTGCTTGTGTCATGGGACTTGCCTCGAGTTACAACCCATGTCCTTGGTCTGTGGTGAATGTCATGATACACATCGGTACCAACACAATATTCCTCATTAAAATATGACCCATGAAGATCCGGGGCAGAATAAATCTTCAGCACCCCATACTTGCCGTAAAAGGCGACTATGCTTGTCGTAAAAGGCGACTAACAGGATCGGGTGGTCAGGCTCGCTGACTTGGTTGATACATGTCATCCATCCCAATTGCGTGGATCGATGCTCATTATCTCAATCTCTCGATTGTCTGGTCCAGACTCGATTATTTTACAGACTGCCATTATATAGCTTGAATATTGCTGAGTGCGGCATTAAACAACAAAAAAAACAAAAAAAACCCATTACAATGCATTCTGTGAATCTTACCTCATGGAACACTACATATCATGTCATGTACCTTTACGAGCTTGCACACTGTTGCAGTACCTGCGCCTAGCGCGAACACTCAAGTACTACAACTACATTCAGTTCCGGCCATGCAATACCGACTACCCCAACCCTAACTCCCGCGTCCTCATAGCAGCAGGGAACAAGGAGCTCAACTTCCGTGTACAGGTTGACAATCAAATGAAAGAAGGCAGCTTTAAAATTACACGGATGAAGTGTTGGCGAATTACAACAACGGTAAGCTTAGACACTTGTCAAACATATTTGAGACCAGACTCGTTTTATTTGTACTCAATCTGCCACTGGGTAGGAGGCAAAATAAAGAAAGGAAATATTCTTAGGGTTGATATGAGCATGTTGAGGTCAATATTCTAAAAATTCTTTGAAATAAGAGTTGTAACAGTTATTACAAACAAACAAAAAGCATTTAAGAAGCATATTTAACAGTTAGTGAAACAAAGAGAAAAATAGGTCTTGTCATGCTTATGACAGAATGGAGATACAGCAATATATTGGCCTTGGGAAAAGTTGTAAGAAGCGATCACAGTTTTATCTTGTTACTTTTATGTTGTATTTGAAGAGATATAAATGTGAACTGTTTGACTGTTGTGAATATATGCTGCTCCACTTTTGATTGGGATATTTTTCTCTTTCCATGATACACAAAAATCATTCTTATAATGTGTATGTTTACCGGTAAATAGAATTACATATCTGATTATCCCTATCAAATTTTGGGGGGCAGTCGGGTAGCCCAGTGGTTAAAGCATTCGCTCGTCACGCCGAAGACCCGGGTTCGATTCCCAACATGGGTACAATGTGTGAAGCCCATTTCTGGTGTCCCCCGCCGTGATATTGCTGGAATATTGCTAAAAGCGGCGTAAAACCATACTCACTCACTCACTATCAAAATTTGAGTAGTATATGATACAGGTGCTTGATACCAATACGTCATGTTGGAATTCTAGTTTCCCGATGATCAGGAGGAAGGGACAAAGGACTCTAAGCCAAACTTGGAGTTGTCATTTGAATATTTGATGGCCAGGGATTCCTTGAAGTGGATTACGATCACAAGTGAACAGGTATGTAGATAATGTGAACCATGGGCGGATCCAGTAGGGGTCCAGGGGGTCCGGACCTCCCATTTTGAAAGCGAAATGTAGCATGTTGTAGGCAGTAAAATTATCTGAGAAAGGATATTGATATATTGGATCCCTCCCTTTTAGAAATGCTGGATCTGCCCTCGTGAACCCTTGTTTTGTTATTCGGTACCCTGTTGGTCTTGGATGCTTGCCTTTGGGTTAAAACTCCTTACTATAATCCCACGGCAACCCCTAAGGCCTGTAAAAGATAGGGAAACAGCCTAGGGCGACCCTGAATCCACAGCAGATCCTCTGCGGCCGCTGCAGGTATCTCTCGATTTCGGGGGCTTCGGCTGCCGTATCCTAGCCGTGGAGCAAATGTGACTGAGGCATAAGTATCCCATAGGTTTTAAAGCCTGATTTCCTGACCATCTATGACTGTTATAAGAGTCCTTGTGGATCTAATGAGATTTTTGGGTCAAGGATACATTTAGGCATGAAGGAGGATGTTGCTTGACCATGGGCATGGTATTGTTGCAGGCAATGTTGATGAGTATGAGTCTACAGGCAATGGTGGATGAGCTTATCATGAAGAAACAAGGACGAAAATTCAAGAAGGTTAGTTTGTTCCCATTGAAGATCCCTACCAATTTATGAAGAGAAAAATATTCTCAATTCATGTCAATGTCATCCTTATTGAGATAAGATTCATGATATATCTTAGACAAAAATGCTTGTTTAAACACTGATGTAACTAGTCTGCATCTTAAGCTGTTCATCTAAAGCTTGAGTCTAGTAAAATTCAAATTGGTCCCATAAATTTATCAAATGAATGTCCAGTTGATAAAACTAAATTGTACTAAAAATGATACAAAGAGCAATCTTCAGGCTAGTAGACTGAAATGTTTGTGGCACAGACTGTGTACCTTTGTAATCTTGGTTCTGGGACTGATATTTCTGACAGGATACTTTGCTCATGCTATCACTCATTGATATTCCTGGTCCACACTTGATTACATACAGGCCACCTTGAGCAGGAATATTGCTGACTGTGGTCCAAAACATACACCCACTCAAAGCATTATGAGTAATATGTAAATGTTTAATGATTATGTTCTACATCTGCAGCCTTCAGACCGACTGAAGAACCCATCTCGAGGTGTGGTGAGTGGGTTTGGTACCAACAGACAGTCTTCCTACGCAAATGGAGAGGTAAGGACCCAGCTTCATAACTGTTCTGTATGGCCAAGTCAAGGCTATATGAATCATTCAAATAAGAGTCTTTGGACATGTTATGATGGCTAGAAATATGCCTGGTAGTAACTCATGTTTAATCGGCATGGCATGAAGTATTGATATGGTTCAGTCCCTGTAGGAACACTACACAGGTGTAGAAAAGCCATTCTTCTTTTTGACAGGGAATTTCAATCATGTTTCAGGTTTACCAAGAAATGCTTAATGTTAAATTCAAATAAATAAAAGAGGATATTTTATGTTAAGATGGGCAACAATCCTAATTTTCATTCTGATATGTCTTCAGGTGGCCCTAAATTTCTGTTACAGGCTCCTGTTTACTTCTATGCTATTAGACATGAAGCAGTGATTGAAATTGTCAACTTGTTATCATTTGTTACCATTGTTTGGGGCGGTCGGGTAGCCTAGTGGTTAAAGCGTTTGATCGTCACGCTGAAGACCCGGGTTCGATTCCCAACATGGGTATAATGTACAAAGCCTGTTTCTGGTTTCCTTCGCCGCGATATTGCTGGAATATTGCTAAAAGCAGCATAAAACCATTCTCACTCACTGCCATTGTTTATCAATCCAAACTAGATGTCAAGTTTGCATTGTTTAATATTGACCTATCCTACAGAACATTGTAGAATTGAATGACAAAAATACCATGCATATGTGTGGTGATACAGTGTTCCCTCGTTATTGCGCCCTTCACTATAGCGCTAACTCGGTTACCTGTACCTGTTTGTGAGTTGCTTGTTGCCTGCTTATGTATTCATGCATGTTTCCCTTCAAGCTGCCTCAGGATATTATGGAGGAAAACCAAGTAATGAACGTGTTATATAGATCATCTTTGTTTTCCCGCTTTGTGTATAGACAGTGTATTGTACTCCTTGTTTATCATGATGATTAAGCGCATTTCTGTTCAGTGTGTCTAACTTTGTTGAAAGATTATCTTAAGACCTCTCAGTATAGGGTGGTAGACTGATATATTGCAGCAATGTTCATTTGGAGTTAACTCCCTTTGGTCTATGGTTGAGTTGGCATCAGCCTTTTCCCCCCATTAGACTATCACTGTATCTGGTCATTGTATTTGTCGTGTTAATAGTTTGTCATGCATCGTGAGTTGTTTTAATGTAATTTGATTTTTTGCTATCATAAAATATGTTCAATATTATTAATATATTGACTGTTGGATAGCAATTATCGGGGTACATTTTGTAATTTCTAAAATTTTAAAACTCATTATTTGTTTTTTATCTGTTTGGTCAAATTGGGCTTAAACTAAACTAAGACCGCACATTTTTTTATTTTCGTTTCACAGACCTGCGTCCCAAAAAGCAGTCAAACCACAAAATAAATTAAAAGAATAATATTTGTTTTCATAATGTCTCCTGCTAGTAACATAGACCCTCTTATACAATAAAAAAAATATATATAAATTCCATGTCTCTATCAGTGATTCAAGAAGCCAGCAGCAATTTTAACTCCACAGCAGAATGACTTTCATATAAATAAATAATTGGCATAGCTATTTTGATTCCTTTTTATTTCGACCAACCTTGGTGGAAAAGGTGGAATAAAATGGTAAAACATAAAAATTAAGAAGTGGGACCTAATGGTAATATTTGTACCTGGAATAAAACTATACAAACATTCAATATTTCAACACAACATTTTTTCACAACATTTCACACATATCTTTTATATAATGCTAATTGATAAAGTGATATGTTGGTGGATTGGGTCATTCTGTAATTGTCCCTTGTCTATGAAGCAAGGGGAAATTAATATCAGTGGAAGGAACAACTCGAACAATTTGGTACTTCTTGTTGAAACTTTGCATGGAGCTGGGTTATGCAATTCCATGCTGACTGTTGAGATTTAGGATGGAGTAGAATACACTGGTTTTCAATGGATGAAATATTTTTTGTTTGTGTCGGCATAATATCAAGTACATTATTTGCACTCTGCTAGCAGTTGCCATGGTAACCTCATCAACACCAATTGATGTTCTGAGGCAGGTGAAGGAACAAACCTCAAGAAAACATCTTCTTGACTAAGATGTGGATAATAATTTTTACTTAGATGCAAGATTAACTTGACAAGGAACAAGTCAAGAAGTAGTGTAATATGTACATATTGTGATTGTTGCCATTTGAAGTGTGTTTTTAATCTATTTCAATTATGAGGCAAGAGATATCATGTATGTATGTCATTAGGGTGCATGGTTTCATCACTGTGTTTTTCATTCATATTCAAAGCTAATATTCCATGGGGATATGGTTGTAGAATTGGCCTCATTAAAGGCAACTAAATGAACCTGTTCTTCAAGCTCAGTCGATTGCGTGTCATCATACCCTGATGTTTGTTTGTTGTTTAATGTCGCACTCAGCAATTTTCAAGCTATTTGACGGCGTTCTGTAAATAATCAAGTCTGGACCAGACAATCCAGTGATTGATATCATGAGCATCTATCTACGCAATTGGGATACGACGACGTGCATCAACCAAGTCAGAGAGCCTGACCACCCATCCTGTTAGTTGCCTCTCATAACAAGCATGGTCACCTTTTATGGCAAGCATGGTTGCTGAAGACCTATTCTAAGCCAGATCTTCACGGTATTATACCCTGATGGAGCAGGACATTGCTCATGCTATCAACCACTGGTTTGTCTGATCCAAACACAAATATTTACATGCCGCCATGAACAAGGTGTCATGTTGGTGACTATGTCGTCAAACAACATTCACTTACTGTTTCACTTGTGACAGTACACAAACTCTGCAGCTTGGAACAATTTCTGTGCTTTGTTGTTGATTTCCCTGTTTTGTTTTATATAGTGTTGTGTGTGGATAGCTTCAAATGTATTTCTTTGCTTTGAATGTCAGTCAAACTGGTAAAATGAATATGCATGATTAAGTGTCTCGACTGACATTTCTGGCGTGGTCACTGATCAGCTATATTCATGACTGTAGTCACTTCATTCACTCACTTGTTACCTGTGTGTAATTGTGTGATATGCAGTGATAGTCACAGTTTCTAAATCTTAACAGTTACAATCAGATTTTGAACATTTGTTATGGATGAATGTTTTGTGCCTTAATCTCTGACTTTGAGGGGGCTGACTCAGTTGCTTAATTGATTAGGATCATGGGGCCACCCTGACCCAGATTGAAGGGTTATGTCCTGAGGTCGCCATGACCCAGATACATGTAGAAGAGTTGTGTCCTGGGGTCACCATGACCCAGATGGAAGAGTTGTGTCCTGGGGTTGCCATGACCCAAATGGAAGAGTTGTGTCCTGGGGTCGCCATGACCCAGATGGAAGAGTTGTGTCCTGGGGTCGCCATGACCTAGAGGAGGTAGTTGAAATATCCTGGTATCCTGGTATCCCGGACGTAGATGGAAGTAATGTCCTGGAGTGGTTTGACCCGTATGAGAGGGGATGTACTGTCCTGTGGTCATTGTGACCCAGGCTGTCCCCGTAGGTATTGCCCTGGGGTTGTGTAAATAAACCAGGACTTAGGGGTAGGTGGGGGGAATTGCTGACCAAACAAAGACAAAGGAGGAGGATGCAATCACGTGACATGGTTTATAGGTACTGTGATGTACCTAACTAAGCATGTGCAGAAGCGTAAATAATGGGTATATAGAAAAGTAGGAATGAGGAAATAGAAAATGGCATAAGCATAGTTGTTGTTGCACAAACTAAAATCCAAATTCTCATTGAGAATTATTCTTATTTCTCAAGCACATGCACATCAGCATGCATTTGAGCACGTTCAACAGTACAGTGACATGGTATGGGAAGGTCTATACAGTTGACACAGTATGCATGCTGCATGATTGGTTTTGTCAGTAGATGGGGTTCCTTGGTTATTAACCTTCTAAACAATATCAAATACCTACTGAATGTATGATAGAATATATTGACTAGAAGTATATATATATAGAACATATTTGCACAATATCAAAATGCCTATTGAATGTATGATAGAATATATTTACTAGAAGGATATATATAGAACATATTTGCACAATGTCAAAATGCCTATTGAATGTACGATAGAATATATTTACCAGAAGGATATACATAGAATATATTTGCACAATATTAAAATGCCTATTTAATGCATGATAGAATATATTTACCACAGTGTATATATATTATATCAAAATTCGCAGCTTGCAAAAAAAAGGTTTGAAGTCATTGGCAGCTGTTCATTGCTAATTATTTCTCCATTATTCAGTGAAATGTGATATCACCATGATGATGGATGTGTGACATCCACTATTTATTGTTGGAATTTGTTTGTACAACATGCTCCAAGGACATTTACCAAGTATCCTATTTTATACAGCAGTCTATAAATAAACTAACACATGCTAAATGCATACAGATTTCATTTGTAAGTAATGATATTAACAGTGTTGTAAGCCTCAAACAAGTTCACATTTCACTGACTTCCAGTGACCACAACCAGTTTGATTTGATACTGACCAGTTGATTACAGTAGATGAAGCTCACTTTGAATGTCAGTCATCTTCCCGAGGCAAGAGAGTTAACTGACTATAAAAATTCAGTTTCCAACCTTGCCGAACTAGGCTGGTATTATGGAGTTAGATTTTGGCTGGACTAACAAGTCTATGCATAGTCCAATCAAAATCGTGCACCGAAATCGAAATCTGATTCGTAAAGTGTCATGCAGATTTCGGTCGATTGGGGGATTTGCACAGCATGTGCACCGCCACCTCGTTGTCACCAGATATTTTCCAAATAATTTCAAGTTTTTAATCAAGGTGGTCACGTGTTTTGATGCACTTCACGATGTAACACCCCTTTTATTACAATATTGATCTTGATTATCGATCAGATCATCTTGACTGGGCGCCGCCATTTTGTTTGAAACAAGTGCAAATGATACGAGAGGTGGAATTTGATTGGTCCATAGGAGAGGCAGAGAAGGGACATTACTCGTAATAGCCTAGGGTGGCGCTACTATCGAGCCCAGAAATTCCAGCCTAGTTCGGCAAGGGTGGAAACTGGACTTTTAAAGTCAGTTAACTCACTTGCCTCGGGAAGATGAATGTCAGTAGACTTCAGCCATGTTTCCTTATTTGAATTCGTTTTCAGTGTACTTCAGTATACATTTACTTATATAATATTTGTATAACTATGTGACTTTTGGTCCATGGTTGTGTGAAAACTTATATTTTAACGTTGCAACAGTTTGGATAACTTCTTTGAGAGGCATTTAGTAGTTGGAGTACAAGATAAGGATAAGATATATGGATGAACAACTTCTTTATTACAATTAGGAGCAATGTTTCGGTGTAGGTTTTAACACCGTTATCAAGCAAGCCTAATTGTTATAAAGAAGTTGTTCATCCATATATCTTATCCTTACAATCAGTTTGAATATTGACTGTCATGTCATAACTAGAAGGCTGAGTTTGTATTGTTTCATTGATGTGATGTTAAATCTGAATGACAATTGTTTATTGATGTAGGTCAGTCTTGGATGATGCAAAATATTTCATGTTAGGTTTTTTTACTACCTTCCATTATGTCAGTTTGACTGAAAAAAGGTTGCTATGTGTTCTAGTGTCAGATATTCAGTAGTATACAACCGTTATATAATGATGGGGAGACATTTCTCCATCTCACCATGTCCAGCACACATAAGGAACCAGTGTGCAAACCAACAGGTTGGACCATTGGTTATAGCTTTATAAAGAGGGAGTTACCACCCTTGGGGACTAAAGAACCACCCATTTGATGCATGTATGTTTTGGTTTTATATGTCCCTGGTCTGTTTCAGAATGAAGAACAGAGTGCAATAAACAAAGCAATGGGGTCCATGAAGAAGATATCAGTAAGTCTAGCCATTCAGGGCTTATACACTTCATACAATAGGGGGGGGGATCAGTAAGTCTAGCCATTCAGGGCTTATACACTTCATACAATAGGGGGGGGGGATCAGTAAGTCTAGCCATTCAGGGCTTATGCACTTCATACAATAGGGGGGGCAGTCGGGTAGCCTAGCGGTCAAACCGTTCACTCGTCACACCGAAAACCCGTGTTCCGTTCCCATCATGGGTACAATATGTGAAGCCCATGTCTGGTGTCCCCCGCCGTGATATTGCTGGAATATCGCTAAAAGCAGCGTAAAATCAAACTCACTCATACAATTTGGACAGCCTCTGTGATCTAGTGGAAAGTGTGGGCTGCCTGGGGTGAGGTGAGGTGAAATAGGGTTTAATGTCGCATTTAAACACCATTTCACCTCACTTCGTAGAATTTCTTAAGGTCTGCTTGGGAACTGCCATATGCACTGATCAGTAACAAGTGCAGTTACTTGTCTAACATCTTCAAAACAAAATACACAAAGCTGTAGCTTTGTAAGTGTGTCAGTGTCCAATTGTGCAGGCACCACTCCTGAGTTGTCAATTATGGATCAGTCAGTTAGTTTGGAGAGACTCATTGAAAATACAATGCAAAATTGGAGATGGTCTTATTTTCTTTCCAGGATAAACTATCGAAGAGTTCTTCCAAGGCTGACAATGGCCTAACAGAAAACACAGCATTCGAAGGGATAGGCGATGATGACTTGTGATCACAACCAGTGAAGAAACAGACTATTCCAGCCATACTCAGTGGGACATCCCTTCAGTCACACGCTATAGGGCAGATGAGGTTGATGACACTGATCAGGAAGCTACTCACTCTTGTTAGGCTTACAGGGAAGTTGTATGTCTTGCTTTGGAAGCTGCGAAATGTTGAAATAGCGAGCTTGCCAATGATAAGGAGTGTCACAATACATTAAGGGGCGGTCGGGTAGCCTAGTGGTTAAAGCGTTTGCTCGTCACGCCGAAGACCCGGGTTCGATTCCCGACATGGGCACAATGTGTGAAGCCCATTTCTGGTGTCCCCCGCCGTGATATTGCTGGAATATTGCTAAAAGCGGCGTAAAACCATACTCACTCACTCACTCAATCACAATACATTAAACAGTACACCATGATACTATGTGGCACATGATAAGAGACAATGACAACATTTACATCTAGGATATCAGAGACTTTACTAGCTGTTATCCTCAGTCAGTTTTTGAAACATTTAGCAGTGAAATCTGAATGATAATAAATTTATGTTAAAAGCTGCGAATTAAAAAAATATATAAATAATTCGAGTTTGAATTCAGTTAAAGGACAAAGTCTTTGATCTTGATTTACTTATTCTTCAGATTTCTCAATCCAATTGCATCCAATTTTGCAGTATGTACAAATGTTGTGTTGTATCGATACAATGATGAATTGTGACTCCCCTTTCAATAATGTATAAATGTAGAGAGCAGTGAATTGTAAATATGGCTAGACAGCTAGACAGTGAATGTGATGAAATGTTTTCAAGTATGCTCGCAATGCATCTGTGTCTCTTGCAAGTCTCAAGTCTTAACACTGATTCAGGATACATCCGTGGATGCTATTGTAGTACCATTGTTGAGATGGAGGACTCTTTGGTCCTGTAGGCACTTTGGAAGGTGCAACTAATTCATTTTGATTAATATTTGTATGTTTTGAATGGCATAACATGGTGCTATATTACCGGGTCCCCAAACACAGTTATCATGAAAGGAAGGTTGAAATATAGACATGTAAATTACATTCTCAGTTTCATCTACATTTTAGAGATTAGTACAGCCACACAAGGAATGTGGCACATACACCACATTTGATAAAATATGAATCCTATATAGTTAATCAAGGTCCTTTGCAAGTTCTTTCACCAGGTGTCATTTTCATAACCAGCTGCCTATTGTACAACTTTTTATCTGGATACTGTTACAATTTTTAATATTACCTATATCATATATTCTATAACGTGAAATCCACATACCTGGAGATTATGTAAGAGATTATTGTAATCAGTTAAATAAGTGTTACAAGTATTAATATTACCTATATCATATATTCTAAAATGTGAAATCCACATACATGGAGATTATGTAAGAGTTTATTGTAATCAGTTAAATAAGTGAATTTTAACTGAATAATGTCCATAGTACTCCATTTATCCTGTGGTATATTATACCCTGGACATTTTCGAGTTCTCACTTGTCCTTTGAGAAGCACACTGTCAAACCTCATCTCGCAGTTTGACTTGATGTCACTTGTCCTTACTCAGTGAAAGATGATGTACAATGTACCTGTGTTTTGTCTGACTTACTTTCCAGGTCTAGAAGTTCTCATTTGGTTATCTGTTGTTACTATGGTTACCTGTTTGTATACTCACGTTTCATTAACTACATCTGCTACAGTTTGCCTGATGAACATACAGGAGTTTTGTGAGTCCTACATCTGCTGTCATGTGAAGCTAATGACGTGTATATGTGATGTTTGTTTCACTCTGGTTATGTGGGAATAGTCATATAAGTATCAATTGCTCTCTTTGGAATGAATTCTTTCAAGATATCATGGTGTTTCAATAATGGAATCTACGCTATTGCCTCGTGCTGCCTCTGACTACTATAGAAATATCAGACTGTAGATGATTGAGGTTTGACGGTTTGATGCATCAGCATGTAATATAACCATGATCACCATAACTGGCAACAGACAAGGATCACAATCGATTTTCGTTGTCATATTCCTTGATTTACTGCTGTGAATTTGGCAAGAAATATTGTGCAACCCCTGAATCCTACCGCTTTGGTTAATTCAAGTCTGTATTTGGTTCATTGGAAAAGAAGGGGGGGTCGGTAAGCCTAATGGTCAAAGCGTTCGCTCGTCACGCCAAAGACCCGGGTTCGATTCCCGACATGGGTACAATGTGTGAAGCCCATTTCTGGTGTCCCCCGCCATGATATTGCTGGAATATTGCTAAAAGCAGCGTAAAACCATACTCACTCACTCACTCATTGGAAAAGAAGCGTTTCTATAGTCATTTTACCATTGGACATATTTACTAGTCACTTATACAAAGTTCTGCACTTGGAAGAGAAACCAGTTTTCAAAAACTGTCAAAGATAGACTTCACAGGTTTTGCTATAATGTTAAGTCTGCATTCATCTACCAAGAAAAGAATAGCTTAATAAGGGGTCATCCATTTGATGTCCTGAGAGGGGACTGGGTTTTTGGGGGAAAGAAATATTCCTGGAAAAGAATAATTTTGCCTTAGGTTTTTCCACACATAAGAAATTGTAGGCTGGACATTCCTCAAAGAAAAATGTGAGAAAAAAGTGAACTTGTGTCTTGAAGCAGTAACAGAATTCTGTCTCTTACAAAAAAAAACAGCCTGCTTTTGATCAAAACTTATTACATACAAATCATCATGCTATTGTGAAATGAAGACTTGACATTTTTTTAATTCTTGTCATTGCATAGTAAGTTTAATTTCAGTGATTGTATGCATTGGCTATGTGTATAACTGGAGTCAGAGTGCTCATACAGAAGAATCTTGCGGAATATTTTCTAATGTGCACAGGCCAAATTTTTACATGCAGCCAAAATTTATTCTTTTGCAAATTTTGGACGTTTGTATATTTCCAGCATGTGTAAATATTCGACATATACTGTGACGCCCCAGTGCTTGAGTTCAACATACAATAATAATATGCCAAATATATTGGATCACTGTTAGAGGCTGATTGTATATAGTTTCCCCATCCTGTTGCCAACATGTACATTGAAATCTATGCTACAGACATGGGTATTGTCTTTCCTGCCTGTATTTAGCTAATGGATTTGTATGGAAACATTTGGCATAGTTTTATCTGAATTTATGAAAGCAATAATATTGCTGAAATAGTTGGAATTTTTTTTGTTTTTAGCCCTCATTTGAGAGGGTTTGTCAAATCCAATAATGAATGTACACTGTAAAGTAACTTGGCATATTGGCAATTATTGCCTTGTATTTGTTTAAATATCTTGAAGACCGAACTGTAACCAATGCAAATATTTTTGTTGGGTTTCACTTAAATAATTCAAAATGTAACTATTTGCTGTCACTACATTTCCTATTGAAATGTAATGATGACAAGTATGATACAGAAGCAGTTCAGATGATTGATTTAATTATTTAAAAAACATAAAGGATTATTTGTTTGAAACTTGACAAAAAACGACTGATCAGCTTCTAGTTTTCTTTATGTTTATGATTTTCAGTAAACATGAAAACGTTGTGCAATGCCACAGCACTAAGTCTAAGCTATTACTTGTATAATACTTTTGCTGTATAAACTTTATATATACTTGACACTAAATAGCTGTAATTGTTAAAAATGTGACTTTCTGTGTGTGATATGTTTACATATTTAACCTGTACAATATTTACACAGACTATTTTGATATGACCAATGACTAGTCATGATGTTGTGTATTGTTGCGCGTGTTATTGTCAGTGCTGTTGAGATGAGAGTGTTTTGTGATGTTCATTGTGTTACAATGAATTGTTGCCTCCTGTTTCAGCATATAACAAGGCATTAAGACAGGTAATCAAAATATATAAAGCACTGAATTCACCATCTTCCCGAGGCAAGGGAGTTAACCGGCTATTAAAGTTCAGATTCTGCCCCATTCATCACCACTTACCCCTTTCTGTAACCTGCAAGACGACTTGTCCACCTATTGATGAATGTTATGTGCGAAAATACAACAAACCAATCAAAATAAGCTTTTGACTTCAAGTTCTTCGGTTAAAGAATCCCTCAGGAATAAATTTTTTTTATTTTGCGTATGTCTTGCATCTAAAACTGTACCCAAGATACAGTTAAATTACATGAAATGTATATAATGGAAGGGGAAATATACGTGACTCATTACGCAATGAGTTGACAAGTCTTTTAGCTATGCCCGTTTGCGCTTAGACGGAACCCGGTCTCTAAAATGGCCACAAGAGGCATGAGCTATTCGGCTTGTCCCTAAATAACACGAGTTGGTCACGAATGTTCCCTCCCTTGCCGAACAAGGCTTGATCATAGTGCCACCAGTGACTATTTATGAGTTATGTCCCTTCTATGTCCCTCATTTGACCAATCAGATTCCATGTCTCATATCACTTGCAGTTGCAAGTGGTGGCACCCAGTCAAGTCGATCGGATCGATAATCAAGACCTTTTTTGTCTTACCTCGCGAAGTACATCAAATTACTTGATTAAAACATGAACAGATTTGGAAAACATCTGTCAACGCCCAGTTGGCGGTACACATGCTTTGCAAATGCTGCAGTAGACCGAAATCTGCACGTTGAAATCCATGTTGTTTATGAACCGGATGTCAAGTTTGTTACACAATTTGGATTGGACTATGACTCATTGGTCCAGCCAAAATGTAACTCCAGAATTGCAGCCTAATTCGGCAAGGATGGAAACTGGACTTTTATAGTCAGTTAATGACCTTGCCTCAGGAAGATGTGAATTCACTTTCACTATGATCACCTTAGCATAGACCTTCCATTCCACATCAGTAATATCCCGGTTGTATTGGTATAAGTGTATAGGTTTGTATTCTCTCTTTCATCCCTATTACATGTATTAAGCAAATACATAATTAATTTGTTGTGGTATGCATTACTTCAGAATGGAGACAAGGAAACTTGATCAAAAGCAGTGGAATTCAAGTTCCATAGTTAATGGAAACAATCACGTGTTTACAAATAATTCTTGACTTTTCCATTTTGTGATTTTGTATCTTCCATCATGGCTGTGGTTGCCTTGACAACATGAAACAACAAATGCCATTTTCCACACAACTCTTCCATAATCAGCTTAATTGTCTGTTTTTTCATGTATCATATGTTGACCTCATTAAATGAAACAGTTACTCATAGTCATATACTTTAGCATTAGAAATTCTTAGACTTACTCTTAGTTTGAAAAGACTTGTACTGGTAGTTATCCATTCACATAATGGTCTTAAATCCATATCTGACCCTGCCCAGGACCATTCCTTAACTCCACAACAACTTTCTTAACAGTCTGCTGAAGTTCGACTTCAACAAATTGTCAGATAATGTAAGGGAATCTACATTGTTGGAATGTAGAGACACTCATCATCCTATCATAATACTATTTCAGTGGTTAAATTGTCATACCTGTCCAAGTTGTGGGTTACCATGGAGTCTCAGCTTACAGAGAGAAGACGTATTCCTATCATCATCATACCCCACAGGGATCCATTAAACAACATCAATGATGGATTTATAGGAAAAATACTGTTGGGCAAGAGTGTCACTGGAGGGATTTTGTTATTGATGCATTTGTCCTATTACACATAGTGATGTTACATAGATGAGTGCCATGCATCTCTTTGTACTGTACTGTACTGTACTGTACTGTACTGTAAAGCAATACCGAATACTACCGTTCATTTTGGGTTGATACGCTAGCGTTTCCCAATAACTGGGCAGTATCTATTCCCTCGGACAAAGCAGACAGGAGGTTGTGACATTTGCTTCCTTGAATTTAATTTTTAAAACTAGTCCCACTCACATAACCGTTTGCTGTGAATGGTATGATGGTATCTTTTCTTAATTCTAGTTGTTTCCCTTTCTGTGAAAGCATGAACAAACATGTTTATAAAAGTGAAACTAAAAATGCAATTTTATGTATGTGTGGCATAGGTTTAACTCAGGTCAAGATGACAAGAATCTGCATCAGGTTTAAGAAAAAATGATGATCATATTTACCTCAAATGTACCTTTCTTTATACATTTATGTTAAAATGCAAGATTTAT